GCATAGCACATACAACGCGACAGTCACAATGGCAATGCAAATATGATTCCACGTTTGGGGCAGACAAATGCTACCCTCCACCAGCTAACATAGAAGTGAACAACGCCGCTTTCCAAGAAACATCTAACTAGCTTGGTGGCTCGCAGCCATCCGGTTCCTTGGCTTGTTCGCCTTTTAGTGTTTAGTGGTTTCCGTTTAGCCCGCCAAAAGTGCTAAAGTTTTAGCAGGGGATCTGAAGACAGCCCAGGGAAGTCAAAGGCGAAACGAAGAGAGGATTTGGAGAATCGTTTTGGATCCCCTTAGAAGCCATGAGGGATGCATGCCCTGCCCTGCCCCTAGCGGGGGATCTGAAAACGGGCCCAGTATAGTCGTTCTACAGGGGGCATTGGTGACACCATTTCTGCGCAAAGAGGCCTCGGCCAGCGTGTTGCCCAGTGGATTCCGCCCTTTTTCCGACTTTTTTTTGGGGGAGGGTTCCCTTTTACACCAACCATGGCCAAAACCAACCAAAAAAAGGAACCAGCCATGCCCCGGTTGCCCAGTGGCATCCCTTTTTAAACTCAACCCACCAAAAAAGGATGCCCTTTTTTTCCCCATGGCCACTGGGCATCTGAGGAGGTGGTTTCTCACCGGAGCAAACCGCAAGGTGAGCAGAAACGGTGATATTTGCAGTCTCAGCTTTGACCGGCTTCCCGAGTTCGATGGACTTTGTACTTTTTGGGAAGACTATTTTGGTAAATAAAAGTCCAAAGTCCATTTATTGATTTTGTTGGTAAGCAAAACTTTATACTTTTATTTATTTTGTTGGTGAGTAACAGTTTGAACTTGTTTGGCCAATTCGCTCAGGAAGTGAGTTGAACGGCGCATGCAACTACACCGGACCTGAGTGTGAGTGGTGAGAAGCGGGTGATTCGTGATCACTACGAGCAAATTTCTCGCGTGCGCGACCCCAGCACCCACATTGGCAATTTTGGTAGCTGGGCCTTCCTAGAATTTCTACTAAACCAGGTAGCCACCTGGTTTAGTAGGGATTCTAGTAAAGCCCATATTACACAGTAGACCACGCTGCCTTATATGAGCAATGGAACACAACCCCTGTATGTCCCTAAAACGGACCCATTCTCAGAATGCGCATGGCAGAAATCCGAGTGATTGTCATCCAGTGGTGCGCCACAAAGTTTCTTGAAGTTACGTGGCGCTATGCAGCAAGACCATTGTGCACACTTCTATTTGCTTGGAGTTTATAGGAAACCCTTTAAGGACAACCGAACGCCTCTCTTTTTTGTGTGTCCAAATCCCTGTTTGGAGACATACCCACATGGTACATTGATTGAATTAAAGTGGCTGTGAATCAAAAACGGGTATCCATTTTGGAACCCTAGTAAATGGAACCAAGGACTAAAACCTGCGGTCCCCTGGTGCTTCAATTTTGACCCATACCGAGGTGAACTTTCCAGCTAGTTGAACTTGCCTGGGGCTACCCGAACTCGCCCGATTCGTGCAGATGTCCTGACTCCATCAGGAACGAGAGAGATTTACAACATGGTTTTCAGATGGATATTATTTTTGTTTCGTTTGGTAGCTTTAAGCATCACCTTTCGATCCAATTTGACTGTTCTTTTCTTTCGGCAGAGTGATGAATGCAGCAAAATATGGGGGACCTTGAAGAACCCCCGCCCCCCATAAACCTGATGCGGTGGCAACAAAGCAAATGGTGGGAGCCACTTGCAAGGATTTCTTTCAAAGGATTGGACTTTCAAAGTGACGGACAACATGTCTTGCTAGTCAGACCCCTTGTCCTCTCAAGTACCTAGAGTCTCCATGACCCTTAAATGGGTTCATGACCCCTTATTTTGGGTAATGACCAACATTTTTTGAGGGTCAGAAGGAGACTCCAGGTAGAGTTCCCTGCAAGACTGCTCCCCTACGTTGGGCCGTGTCGGCGCCCAGGTCCCGATCTAGATCGCCGGAGAAGCAGCCCCCGCCATATCCAGGCGGGATGCGAGTGTACGCGGTGGTGCTCGCGTGGTTTTTTGAGTTTGTACCCGAAGCTTGCCAGGTTTGAAAGGGAAATCCAACAAGCCCAACATCGGGGCTTCGATATTTCTACACACACACACCCATATTTGATTGTGATTATTACCACACCATTGTCCTGAGGGAATTCAGGATTACACTTAGGCCCTCTTAGTGTGTGATGTGTTGAGGGGTCTCAAATTTACAACAGGAGTGAAGCCTGGGTACTCAATACCATGATCACAGGCTTTCCTGCTAAAGAACGCCGAATTAAGGGGGATGGAGCGCTATTTAGCGCCCAACAATGGAATTCACGAAGACATCCCATTTGAGACGCCATAGAAAACTTGCTGAAGTTGCACCTTCTGAAGCAAACCCATATTTCCTGTTTTGGGCATGGATCGCACACGACCTGAACATACAATGTTTACAAATTATGGGTACCCTGGCGCCTATACGCCCCTTCACCAGCCACTCATTTGGGCAAGTTGATCGGTGATCGTAGCCGCCTACGCACCATGGTGTGTGTGTGTGTGTGCAGGTAAAGGGTTGTGCGGTTCCATGTGTCGAACATGGGGGGAACCTCGTTTCTTGTGGATTCCTTAGACATGCTCCGACTTTTGGTGTTCTTTTTGGGGGTAAGGGAAAGCAACCGGGGGTCCCCGCTTTTTTCAGGCGCGCGTGAGTTGCGGGTTCCAGATTCATGCGCCTGCAGGCTTTCAGGGTCCCTCCAAGGTTTGGGGCGGCCATAGGATGGGATGGCCCTTTGCGGAAAAAAAGGGGCAGGCTACTTCATAAGGTTTTTGTTTTTTATGCGCGGTCATAGCCCACTGAAACGTCTTTTTCCTATGGCAAGTGGCGATTGCAACCGTGGTGATGACCTGCCCCTTTGCAGTGGCGTGTGCTTTCTTGTTCGCTCAGCCACTTGGGGGGGGATGTGAATCGATTCCGCGAGGAGCTTTCCCTGGCTTCGCGCCAGCAGGTGGGCGGGGTCTAGAAGCTTCCCAAGTAGCTCCCCTTGTGGATGTGTCGCCTTTTTGTGGCCCTTTTTTGGGGTCCCCTTTGGTTTCCACTCAGGCAAAAACAAATGGAGGTTTTTTTGCTGGGTCCTAATTCCAGCCAAGTAAGTTGCTTGATGAAACCCCCTGGGTTCTCGGACACAGGGGTCCACTTTTTGACGGCCCCATAGACTTAAAACCCAGGGCTTTTCTTTGGGGGTAAGGAACCACCCCTGGGTTTAAGTCTACCCTGGAGTAGTCAAGAGTAGAACCCGCGGGCAGACACTTGGCAAATTCACATGGGACTCTATTGTGGTTCTTTCCCCCTTTGTAGGAGATGTGCGGATATGGGATACATATATGGGGTCCACGTTGCAGTGAAGTACTCCCTGAGTTCCTGGACGTTAGGTACACCATCTGAGCAAAGCCCTTACTCGGAACCTCAAATGATGAAATCACCAGGATTGGTATATGGTTGCTGTTTGCATGCTTGGACCAAATCAGGTTTGCGGAGCAATCCTCCAGGATAACCTCCAGGAAGGTAATCCATTTGTTGGACTTTTATTTCAGATCACCTGGATAAACGGGAATTGAAGTCATAGCCGTTTGCCCAGGCGTTATGCTTTGATGAAAAACAACAAGTTCAAAGACTCTGTGTGGCCCATCCACTCTGGAAGTGAGCTCAGAACTAGAGCAACGAAAGGCCATGAAGCACCGGTGTGTCCTCACTTGGCCCAACCCCAAGAGAGGTGTTTCAGCCTTACGTTGCTGGGTGAACACAGGGCTCCTATTTCCTTTGTTTTGGTGGAGATATTTCAACGGGACATATACGGCACCCTGGAAAACGTGGTCACATCTTACGTTGTTGCCTTCTAGAATAGAACAATTGCTACTGTTAGTTGTGGGCTTCCCCAGTAAGTGGACTTGTACACTTGTCAGGATGAGTATTTCAGTGGTAAACAACAAGTCAGGACTTAGATTTTCATGGTTTTGCCGAAGTCACCTTTCCTCTTTTGGCAAGTAACAGGTTCCCCCACGAAGCAGCACACACCTGCACTTCAGGGGCTTCCTGTGTGCAGACATCCATGCCAACCAACTACATGATCCTCGCTATGCAGCGAGTACCATGCTCGGGCCTACGAAATCTTCTACAACAGGGCTCAAACTGCCGCCAAACTGTTCCAGCATCCGTCAATGACTTGTCGCTTTCCGTTTCGGTTGCTCTTTAAGCTGTGATCTTAACATAGTGGGAACCCAGTCAGTTCCCATGCTCCTTGGGACTTGGGGGTGCTGGTTGGAGTTGTAGGGAACAGAAGTGGAGGGATGTGCAGGAGACTCTGGTTTCCACACCAGTTAGGATGTCTTATGTTCGGACGATGCGCGACTGCTCTCTGATTTTATATTTTTTCATTGTGGCGGCTGCGTCTTGGATCGCCCTTGTGATCATGCACCCCTGAATTCGGACTTGTATCAGCTATTATGAAGGCTCTGACCAAACGAGACATGGCCATCAGCCAGATGGGGAATTTTGACGCTTCATGTGACCCCAACGTTGTTTCTTAACGCCGTTCTTCAGTTATTGGTACGTTGTTTGGTTGGTTTTGTTTCTAATATACCATGGGATGGAAATATGTCCTTCCTAAAATCGCGTGTGCTGGAAGAACGGCATCGCTGGGGATGACTTGTGTCCCATGATGAAGTGCAACTCCGCTCCCTCTCAAATGCGAAACTCCCTATTCATCGGGCAACATTTGCTCGTTTATGCATAGACTTTGCTTGTACCACGCTCAGGGTGCAAGCAAAGTCATGAAGAAAGCAGTTTGCCTTGTTTACGAATCATGCGTCTACACATCATATGAATTGGACGTGACTGATCCAGAGTTCAGCTGCACCAAACGCATGTAGTCATCCCAGGAGCCCCTATGAAAGCTTAGTCAGGTTGTTTAGTCTCGGCAGAATCACGATTTGTTGGGATGCGCATTCCATTCATGAGCACCGCAGGGGTGCCGCCGCCTCCGCACGGCTACCCGCCCCCGCATGGCTGGCCTCCAGGCATCCCTCCGCCCCATGGGCCGCCCAGCATGCCGGGGCACCCACATGCGCCCCCGCACATGCCACCGCCCCATGGGCATCCGCATCATGTCCCGCCTCCGCCGGGGCATCAGCCGCCACCAGGGCACCCACATGCGCCACCGCACGGCCCTCCGCCTGGGCACCCCCATGCACCGCCACACGGACCTCCCCCGCACCATGCGCCACCGCCGCACCCACATGCCCCACCGGCACAGGCGCCAGGTATGCCCCAGGCGCCGCCCGGGTACCCAGGATACCCACCAGACGGCAGGTACGAGCAGTACCCGCCTGCTGCGCCAAGCCAATACCCGCCACCAGGGTATCCACATTACCCATATCCGCCGCCCGGGTACCCCCACTACCCGCCGACGTACCCACCACCTGGGTACCCCCATGGCTACTACCCACCTCCCGGTGCAGCTCCCGCTCCACCCACCGGCACCTATCCGCCGCCTGGTGTGGGCACTCAGCCGGCGCCAAATCCGCCGCAGCAGGCGAATGCATATCCTCCAGAGGCGGCCACCCCAAGCTACCCCAGCCATCCTCACTACCCGCCGGAGCAACCGCACGGGCGCCCGGAGATCTTCGCAGATTAAAAACCTTGGGACTGGTTGGAAGGGAAGAAAGATCCCCCGCAAAATAAAAAGGGGGAAGACTTCCCCTATGAATCGTCGGGTTCTTTCTTCAAGTTCAAGATGCCAGGTGTTGCAAAGAAGGACGCAGACGAGCTGCTAGATTGTCCACAAAGCTAAGAGGGGACTCAGTAGGAATCCCGCAAAAGCCGTTGCACTTGGACCTGAGTAGTTCGCGGCTCTGGAGGACCAAATCAGTCAGCGGCATCTACCTAGGAAGCCATTTCCTTCTCAACGCGCCCCTGGGCACTCAGCTCGCCTTTTCCAAGTTTCTCAGCCGGACCCCGGTTTTTGCTAGATCAGAAGCGTTTTTCTTGCTGCATCTGCGGCCGGAAGCGTTTCCGACGTTCCCTTCCAACTTGTGGCCCCTGAACCGGGAGAGAGTAGACGGTTTGGGTCTCCATGGGTTTTCAGTGGTCCCTGGCTTTCCCCAGGTTTGCTTCTTGTTCACCAGAAACCGCATGAAGGGTCTACACCAAACTCATTCAGGATCCTAAGAGAACAATGTGTAGCAGTCTGTTTGGCCCCTCACATTGTTTTTGAAGCTTTGAACGGGAGAAACCTATCAAACTACGTCAGTCATAGGAGGTTGACCTAGTTTTGCGATATGTTTCGCCCCTTCAGTTCGCCAAAGCTCTCACAATTTGAGAATTTACCCTGAGACAAACTACACAGGGATTTAGACATGACTTTTCCGCTGGGCTACCATCCCTTCATGTGGTTTGTTTCGTTTGTTAGACCTCCTTTCAACTCTTGGCTTGTTCGCCGACAAGCCAATATTTTCGAGTTCCTAGATCTTTCGCGTGGAAAGCCTCAGAGAATCCGCGGTTGTCCATGTTGCAAATGTTGGGTTCTTCCATCCGCCGCTTTTTTAGGTCAGGGCAATCTGCCTGAACTTCATTCACATGAAAGTTGCCTGATGATCCACATGTCTTTCCATGTCCGCCTAGCATTGGCGTCCGCCCTCGCCTTTGCTCTCGGCGTCTCAGCTGTGGGCGAGAGGGAAAGGGCAGAGGAGGCGGATCTGAGCGAGGAGGAAGAGGGCAAGGAGAAGCCAAAGCTGTTGCAAGTGGTGGAAGCAGAGCGCCCCTCGACTGATTTGAGCGTGGTTAGTTGGGTTCCGAGATTGAACTCTAAGCCTCTGACCCCTTCCCCTAGTTTCCAAAATACGAAGCGTGGCCTTATATCCAAGACCATCCCACAGCACCCCAAGCAGCGCCCTATGCCCCCTTGCACCCTACCGTTAATCTCGCGCACCCACGCCTCCCAAACAGCACCCCAAAGCAGCCTTGCAAAGTACCAAGGGATCGTAGATGGTTTGCGAGTTGGCTCGGTTCGTAAACTGCAGCTTACCGCCAGCTTGTCTTGTGTGCACCCTCGTACCTAGGATTACTAAGTATTTTGCGATCCCCCCGCGACCACCTAAGAAAGCGCATAGAAAGGGCTGCGGCGTTCATCATGTTTTACATGTTTCGTTTGTTTCTCTTCAAAAAGCTTGTTTCTAGCTAAACGCAAGGGCTTCCCCGATTGAAATTTAAGAGCGCTTGGTTCTACCCGGTTCGGTGATTGTAGTAATCTGAATAACATCTTTACGGCCACTGACCGAACCATCAGCGGCGGGTGTCCCTTTGATCCCCTGCTCCACCAACAAAAACCGGGTGCCCTCCCAGCCCCCCAAAGTGAGGTGGATGGCTTTTGGTCTCATTGTGGTTCCCTGAAAATTCTAGGAGAAGCTTTCCCATTCAGATTCGGGATCCGAATCTTTTCGGGACACCATCAAAGAACCCGAAGGAAACAGCGGTCGGTGTTTGAAAATCATGATGGTTGGAAATTGAACAGAATGGGGGATTCACCCCGTGGATGATTTTTAAACCAACATGGCACCGGCGCCGCCCAATTGTAACAAGAAGGATGAGGCGCGTGAGGTTTGTGCCCTTCCAAACCCTGAAAGTTTTAGCACCCACCTGGGTCCGTCTTTTTTGGTGTTTAATCCAACAAGGATTTCGGTCTTCCTTCTAATTTCCCTTCAAAACCACCATTTTGGTACGACTCCCAAAAAAAAGACATCCCCGCCCCCGCCGCCCCTACTTTTGTGCCATTTTTCTTGGCGGTTCCCAGGCCGTCCTAGTAGGTTTTCAGATTTTACTTGGTTCAGTGGCAAGGTTTCCGACTTCAAGCCACTCAAAGTGCTTTTTCGTTTTATCTTGCTTGGGTTTCCCACTTCCACCCACCTAAAAGAATCCAGGCTTCTTTCTTGGTGGGGCGCTGAGAATTCTCCACGGCCCCGAGCCGAGCCCCCGGCCGATAAAATCCGCCAGGCGTGGGGCCCAAGCACGGCATCGAGCTCCGGGTGCTCCAGCGCCACGGGCGCGCGCCGTTGCCCCCGGACGCCGGGCACATGCCGCCCGGAGCGAAGCAGCGAAGGGCGGAAGGGCGCGGGGGTTTCGGCGGCCGGAGCCGGCCGCTTCAACTTGGCCTTTTTGCTCGTTGGTGTTAGCCCGCTTGGCTACTTAGCTTGTTAGCGCTTAGCTGAAAAGCTAGCTTTTTGGTGTTTGGTGTTTGGTGGTTGGTTTTCCATTTGGCCCACTACAAGTGAAACTTGTAGCGGGGGATCTGAGGACAGCCCGGACGAAGCGAGGGACGGATTGCTTTTTTGGCGCGAAGAACGGTGCGGGGAGCGCAACTCGAGGGCGTTTTTTTGTTGATCCGTCCCCGGGTCCTACGGGGGGGGGGGGGGGCCCTTGCTCCCTGAGTTCCTTGGCTTGTGGACTTGAGCAGACCATGTGGACTCAGCGAATCAAACGGATCTGAGAACTGGCATTCGGTTGCCACGCTTGTGGTCCCAAAAGGTGAAGCTTAGTTTCCGGGTCCATTGGGGCAAGTGACACTATGGTTGTCCACGGGCCCAATCCAACTCAGGCCGTTTTTAGGGTCTAGAGGTAAGAGTTAAGGCTTCCTTCTGTGCCTTTTCTGCTGGGATCCCCTCTGGTTTTTGAGGGCATCCCGTTTTCGGCTGGTTTAATTTAAAAGTTTCGGGGCGTGCAAAAAAAAATCAGCCAAGGCCCATTGAAATGAAGTTCTGAAGGGTGCCCCTTTGACAGTCATGTGCATTTCTTACCTGCCCCACTCGGACTCCAACCCTGGTAACATGGGTTTGGGCCGTGCCCAAACCGGTGTCGTTTTGACCGGCGCGCTTTGGGATGGGTGGATGTCTCACGCAAGAGACAGAAGCATTGTATGCCCACTGGTCCACTTGCTTGTTTTTGTGTATACCAACCCCTCAAATGCTCCCCCCCAAGGAAAGCATGAAGCAAAAGAGACGACCAGATTTGCAAAGCAAACCACTAGGAGTGAAAGAGCACGGCGGAAAGACATTTCATTTGGGTATGAGTCAAAATTAAACCACCAGGAATTGGACCGCAGGTTTTAGTCCACGTTTCCATTTGCCAGGGCAACCCATTTTGGGGTTACCCGATGTTCGACCCACAGCCATTTGTCGCCGCAAAAGGGCACGGGGCCCCGACACATGTCAGGCATCACTCAAACTGATCGGTCACTCAGCGAGGCCCACCACCAATGACGAGATGAGCGCTGAATTCGACGAGGCGAGACGAGCTGAGAGTGAAATCTGTTTCTTGTTGAATGGATCCAAGTTTGATTCAGTGTTTTTTTCCCCTAGGGCTGTTTTTTTTTTGGTTTTCTAGGGCTGGTCCCCTGGTTGGTTGGTTGGTCTTTGCTGTTGTTTTTTTAGTTGAAGCCCTGTAAGACTTCTTGGGGCCCAAGGTTTCAAACTTATGCCAGTGGATTTGGAGGAGACCCGAAGTCAGCATCTCACGCCCTGAGTTCCGTTGCAGACTTTCGTCACTTTTTGGGACCATGTTTGGTGCCAACCGAAAATTACTTCATGTTACTTCTAGGTCCCCCAGTAGTGCCCTTTTACCTTTTTTTTGGGGGAGGGTTCCCCTACTAAAGCAGACCACAGAAGAAAAAAAAGCGTACCCTTATTCTAACCTCTCTACTGGAGGACCTGGACTTGTTTTGGCCATCCACTCGATCTGAATCGGAAGTGAGTCTTTCAGCAACAGCACTCCCATCCCTCCCTTGGCTGGTTGCATGTTTGGTCCTCGAAATCACTCCAACGAAGTGTCCTTCTAGGTTCCAGCAAGCTTGGACTCATATTATAGTTTCTGCCTGTATAGGAAAAGCAGACCTCTGCCCCAACGGATCAGAATAGACATGTGAAGGTCATTGTCCTCCAGCATTGGGGCAGTTCTAGCTTACACCTGGAATTCAGGTGGGTTTGGAGGGTCCTGAAGCTTCAGCCTGCAGGTTTTTGAGGATTTTCAAACCCTGTCTTGAGGGGTATCAAGAAGGGGGGGAAGCTTTTTGGCGTTTTAGTGTTTAGTGGTTGGTTTTCCACTTAGCCCACTAAAAGTTAAGCTTTTAGCGGGGGATCTGAGGACAGCCTAGTAAAAGAACAACAAGCCACCAGAAGTCGGAAGTTTTTTTTTGTCGAATTCAGGTGATCGTCGAGTGGCGCACCAACCTCTTCGTCAGCAGCATCTTGCTACGACTGCCGGAGCGCCAGCAACAGCTGCCCTCGGAGACCTCCTTCGACGGCTACAAGTTCTTCACGGGACCCAACAGCGAGACTTGGGCGTTACGAAAAATGAGGCGCAAGGATTGCTAGGTGCCCTTTGACCGTTTGTTTTTTGGTTGGGAGGGTTCCCTACTAGAATAGACTACAGAAAGAAGGGTACCCTTATTCTAACATCTCTACTGGAGGACCTAGATAAGGTGTGTCGCCCTTTGTAATTGGTGGTTTGGATTACGTTAGCTTGGGGATGGGAAGCCCCATTCACCCTCTACAAGGCGCAGGGGTTCAACTCCCCTTAGAAATCCAAATCACCAACCAAACCCATGTGCGCAAGCAATGTTAAATCATGTGAGAATTGGCAATGCGAACCCAACCCAGTCCGCGACTGGCCCTCCAACCCCCTGCTCCCAATGACTGGTGGCACTGTTGTCACGTGGCGCCGGTCCCAGGAGTGCAAGTTCCAGCTGGGCGATAAGAGCCTCGGCGAGAAGACCAAATCCTAGGTGTTGTTTTTGTGAGACTTCCATGCCCTCACAGAACCGAGAGCTTTTGACCTGTTAGTTTCCCGGTTTTGGTCCATATTTAGTCAACCATTGCGTGCAGGTCCTTTGTGTTGGCAGTCTTTTTTAAAGAAAAAGTATTCCTTGATCAGACAGAGGGCAGTTTGTCATTGCGTTCAGAGAAAACTCCGAGTCTGACAGTCAAAGGATCGAGGATCTATGTGCAGCGGTAAATCCCAATGAAGATTTGCTAGAGTCCTTTGCCAGACTTGACTCACTTGTTTTTGGCTTCTTGCTTTAGTTTTTCTCTTTGCTGGGCTTCTTCATGTTTCCTTTGGTTCCAAGGCCCACAAGCCGTTGCGGGACCGGGACTGTTCGGCGCAGTTCAGGGGGCTCTGTTCAATGGGATTTCACCCATCCTAGGAGCGTTGGGGGATTGAAATAAACATATGGGTGTGGCTCAAAACCAATTTGGATCACCCCATGTGATCGTACGATATCCACCTGAGGTGAACTTTCAGCTAGGAATCTTCCGATGCAGGGACGGACGACAAGCCTTAGGAAATGCAGGCATGAGTCGGCTTTTGCCAAATTGGGACCCGTTTGGCGGCTGAAGGTTTCCTTTTCCCCACAAATGGTGATTCAAGAGGTGGTGAAACATCACTATAGCCGTACCCTTCCCATTTTTTATGAATCCCTTCTCAGAACATCGCTCCAACCACCAGGTCCGGTTGCGGCTTCCTGAACCAACCAGACAGAAAGTGGGGTCATTGGTTGCTCACTAGTTGATCTGGATTTGTCCAGGTGATAGTGTGGTTGGATGAAATCCTGCACCACCATTCAGAAACCCACCCATTCTGATTTCCAAGTGGTGCGAAGGGATTTCGCACCCATCCGCAGCAAACCCCCTTCCTCGTCCAAAACAAGGCACGTGCTGCCAGACAACGATGAGATCAGGGCCAGGGACGTGGCAGGCGGAAGTCCGAATCGAGCGGATTCATCGGTTTCAGCAGAGTCGCTACGCTCCAAGCATTCGGTTCAGGGAGCCGGTTCTTAGCTTGCCTAAAATGCCGGGGAGGGGGGGGGGGAAGGAAGGAACTCACTCCTGAATCTCTGGACTCTGCACTTTGAACATCTCACTTCCCCCCACCTCCCAGTGAGTGGACTCCACTCCGGAAGTGAGGAATGGGGGATTAATCCGTAAGTTTTAGACACCGAGGTGCTTTGGTTGCTTTTTTTTTCAAAGGATGCTCTTTGGACCCTCACGCAGTCCCTTTACCAAGGAGGTTATATTTCCATTTGGCGGTTTCGCCACCATTTGGTCGCGGCTTGTGGCGGAAGCCTTTTTGGGGACGAGGTTGAGGCTCCTCCTATTTTGACGCACCCATTTGGGTCCATCTCTATGTTCGGGCGTTCAGTTCCCACCATCAAAACAATGGGGGGCTCGTACAACCACCCTTGTTTACCTAAGGATTGTTATCTAAATTGGGTCCTTGCCATTCTTCAGATGGGGGTGGAACCCTGGGGCATCGGCATTTCGGACAAGCCAGGTTGTAGTGCCCTACGGCCCCTTTGAAAGGAACATTGTTTTCCAAGCCCCCCCCCCCCAATCGTCAGGTTCAATGTGAAAAGGGTGGGAGGGTAGTGCTTGGTGTTCCTTTTAAAAAGCAGCCTTTTACTGGCGGATCCGAGGGATTCGTACCCACTTGCCCTTTGTAAATGGGTTCATTCTGTCCATGACACTGAGTCAAGAACAGCAAGGCGTTTTTTCAGGGTTTCCTATATATTGACAACCTACAAAGAATTACCAAGGGACACGTTTTCCGTCGCGAAACGTTTTTCGGGAGCCGAACAAGACTAGCCAATTTAGCCAGGGACCCGCAGGGATCCCCGCCTTGTGACCCGTGGAAGCGCTTCCTGTGATGGCAACATGCTGGGCTGTTGGGCTGGGGTAAGATGAAACGGTGTCCATTACTTGAATGGTTTGGTTGGCTAAGCCTTCACTTTACTCCCCAACCCATGTTTTGTTTTTCTGGGCTAACTTCCACCCATTTTAACAAAATGAAATCCTTCAGTCCAACAAAACCACCCTCCATCCAGCCACCTGGGGCCGCTTCCCGTCCGCTTGCTTCACGTCGTGCGGTGCGGCGGTGTGGCGCCGTGGAGCCCGTGAGGTGGGGGCGACATCTCCAGCTGCGTGGCGGACAACAGCGACCCCTCGGAAGAGCCCGCGCCGAAACGAGGGGCCGCGCTGCTGAAGCTCCTCGGAGAGGGTCCAGCTAGGTGCCCGTTCTTTGACCGTTTCTTTTGGGGTTGGGAGGGTTCCCATCTGCTAAAATAGACGACAGAAACAAGTTGGTACCAACTTATTCTAACCTCTCTACTGGAGGACCTAAGCTGGGTGTTGGATGGGGCTGGGGTCATCATGTTGACTGTTTTGGGGGTTGTTAAAGTCAGAAAATGGGGTTGCTTCCCTTAAGCCCACAACTTAGAGGGTGACTGTGATCATGGTAACAAAATGGGGTTATGGGGACCCCTCAAAATCAAACGAAAACCACTCATAACCCCAGTTTATCTCAAAGTGATCATTCCCCACTTCACCAGTTGGACACCCGCCGAACAATAAACTGGAATTGATCAATATGGGGTCAACATTCACCGCTGGTGGCGGGCGCCCCATGTTTCGCGGAGCGACTTCCTTCACGGAGCGCAGGAAGTCGCTATGTGTCACATTGGGACCCCCAAAATATGCGTTTCCTGACTTCCCTTCAAGCCAAGCTTTGCTTAGGGACCCTTTGGTGGACACGGGGATGGTGGGATTCTTGTCCACCAACCACTCTTCAGGTGAGTCCCTATTAAATTCACTGCCATGTATCAGAATATACCCTCAAATGGTAGGTGACCTCTTAAACACCATTCACTAACACAGGCTAGACCCTATACACACGAATGGTTTCATTTGGGCTTTCCCTGCCTTTATGTTCTGTTCGCTAAAGGGCTTTCCAACAAATGGCAGGTTTTTATCTCGGGCTTCCCTTCAATGCAGTCCAACGGCGGGGGTCCACACATATGGGGCCTCCTCGGATGGACAAGGGGAGCCTAGTGAGGTTGGAAAGGTCCATAGGGTGTTGCCACAACATTCCGAGCTCAATCCGCGCATATAACGAGCGAAAACCCGTGAAGGTTCCCTTGGTGGTTGCTGGCTCCCGTTTTGTAAATCATTGCAACTTGCTTAGACAGGGTGAGCTTCCCCATTGCCAAATCATTCCCAGGAAGCCGCCAAACACCAACTGGACAAAGGGCTGGTGCTTGAATCGAGCTCTTTTTTCCCAGTTCTTGGAGCTGATTTTTGTTGGGGGAAGACGATCTTTGTGGTGAACTACATGTTTGGTCACTTGAACCACACGAGGAACCAAAAAGTCAGCACCCAAACTCCTTTCTTGTTGACCATGTTAGCAGATGACTTGACTACAAATGCGTGGTTTGTTTTGCAGGTTGCACCCGCACCCGTTCGGCCACAACGAGTCTGGGTGGAGCATCCTGGAGAGAATTCAAAGCCTTTCGGGCTCGGGTTTTGGGACAAAGGATTCAACCACTAAAACGAAGCGTTCTAGAAATCAACCAGGTGTTCTGCTTAATGCCGGGTTAACGTTGTGCGGGTTGACGTTGTGCGTACCGGTTTTTAAGGATCTCTATGTTGCTTGTTGGGTGGTCTGACTACACTTAACCGGACAAATGTCTGTGAGGAGCAGTTCCCCAAACAGGGGTGATGGATCCCTGTTGTTCCCAAGCATCAGGCCCAATTGGTGCAACATTGGTCTTTGGTGTCAAAATGGTGGCCATTTGGGGAGCACCCAAGAGTCAAGATTGTGTCAAGGGGGCGTAAGCAGGATAAGCCCGGAGCTAGGCCTTATGGAGGAAGTAATAGGTGGAGCCAATGGGCTTCTTCCTAGAGGTGTGGTCGAAAAGATGCTGGGCCTGATCCGCAGTGTATGATTTTCATAGCTCCCGTGGCGGTCCTCTTGGGAGGGGAGTCTCACGTCAAACAGGAGTTCGGCCCTCCAAAAATGACGGTTACTTTCTCTGCGCACTTGGCTGATGGTGACCTGAACGCGGATTTGCAACCTCTGAAGGTTCGTTTCGTGGAGACTATATCGGTTTGGCTGTTATTTGGTTGGGGCAGGGTCCAATTAGCACTTGCCCACCCACCCACCCACCCACCCACCCACCCACCCACCCACCCACCCACCCACCCACCCAGACACCCACTCCCTCCCTCCCTCCCTCCCTCCCTCGCTCCCTCGCTCGCTCACTCACCTACTCGTACCAACCCACTCCCTCCCTCACTCCCTCGCTCACTCACCCACTCCCTCGCTCCCTCGTTCGCTCACTCACCCACCCACCCACCCATTCCAACCTGGATTTGCTGCGCAAAAGGAAGGTTTTCGTCGCACGAAAGACCAATGCAGAGGGCAACTTAGCCCCTAAATTGAGGCGTTGTTTTTTTTCCCCCCGATTCGGCCTTGATTGTATACTTTTGAATGCAGGGTCGGTGCGTTCGGCACAGTCTTCCACTGCCCTCTGTCAGAAGCCTTGAGTTGACAAATTCACAGGCACGGCCTGCTGCTCTTTCGGCCCACCTCTAAAGGACCGGACTTTTTACCCTTGTTCCCATTCCCCCCTCCCCCCAAAAAAAAGCAACAGCAAAAACAACCACAAAAAGCAAACAAAAAAAAGTCGCCCCCCCCCCCCCCATTCCCAGTGCTCCAAAACCGAGCTGCGGATTTTCCGGTCTTCGAATTCTCCGAGTTTCGTCCTTTAGGTCCCACAAGGCGATCGATCCCAGGTGAATGGGGTGGTCAGGTCCCTCAAATCCCCCCCCTGGCTGGGTCTGTTTGTTTTTTGGGACGGGGATGGACATCAGGATCACCGCGGTGTTTTTTGGGGATGGGGATCCTTTCTGCTGGTTTTGCTGGAATTAGAATGGCTCATCCCGGTTGACTTGGAGAATACTTAGTTGTGGCCACGAACTTGTCCGTTTTGGGACATCCGTCGGCTGATCCGAGGATACTTCTCCATGATGATCCGAAACCCCCAGAAGGCCCCGATCCGAAATGATGTGTACGGGACACTTGCCAACACCTTCCAGCTGGTGATGAACACCACGCACCTCGGTTGAAAGTCTTTGTGGACGTCTGGGGAAACCCAGGTTTTGCAGAATCTGCCGGACAATTGGGAAATGAGTTGCAGCAATTCCTGTAAGTGATGGGTTTCCTTTCAACCCTAAAGGGAGTCAACCCTATTTTGAGACAGACCCAAGCAAATCTTGCCCTTCCCCCTGCCATACGGGTTCCCACTAAGCAAGCAAGTTGCAGAGAGCAGAAAAGGGAAGTCCATCCCTCGCCCAGCAGCTGAAAGGATATTCCAAGAAACAATCCGACTGAGCTGTCCATCTTAAGCACATGAACATTGGCATGGAGGAAAGACAAGGGTCCACTGCACACGGCAGATTTTGAGGGCTCCATATGAGCCATTGTCAACATATACAGTTTCCGTACATAGAAAAGACACCCTGTTTTTTGTGGAAAATTGAGGTCCCTCATTTGCAAACGGCAAACGCCACTCGAAAGATCTGGAAAATTACTGACAGCCTGGAAAACCGGTGGCAACTGGAAATTGAAAACCTAATAGAAACAGAAAAACAACTATGTGGCCCTGTTTCTTCGACAAAGTCACCCCCGAAAAGGTTCCCTTTGTTTATCAGGGTCCCTGGTTGCGACAAGTTGTAAACCGTCTTTGGAGACCCCAGCCAGTCGTTTTTCTTTTTTGTGGACGGGGTGGTCCATTGCAAACCTTCCCGTACAAAGGGAAGGAACCGGTACGACAAAGGGTGTTGTGTTCGGCTGGCTGTGGTTACAGATTCCTTTTTTGGAGCCTTAAAAGTGGCTAAAGCCGTTTAGACGGCCTCTAGAAGGGTCGCCAATCAGATATCATACCCATATCGTTTTTGTAAATTTAAATCGTTAGAATTGGAGACCACATTTGTTTCGGTCCCCACGTGCCACTGCCGGCAAGTTGGGCCCAAAAGAGCAGTTTCATTGCAGCTTACAGGGGCGATAGTGTAGTGGTTGTTAAGCGGGGTTGCTCGAGCCTCTAAACAAAAGATGACCGGCAGAAAAGCTTCTCAAAACCCCCTTCCGAGCTTCTCAGAAGCTTCTAAGAACCCTGCCTGCAAAGTGCAGGTATTCTCCTCAATTCAGGGCAGCTAGTGGGTGTCTCTACCTAGAGTCTCCATGACGCTCAAACAATGTGTCCATGACCCGTTAATTTTGGGTAATGACCAACCATTTTTTAAGGGTCAGAAGGAGAGTGGTAGGTGTTTTTCCTCAAAACGCGGCTGGAAGCGCGAGCCGCGCAATTCCTATCGCAAGGAGCGGCGAGACGGTGGCAGCGATGTCCTTCCAGGCGAATCGATGGATCGATGGATCTCCGTGTCGTTTTCGTTCTGTTTGCTACGCGACCATGTCTGTTTGACTAGGGAGACCGGGGAGGGTTCCCCGACTAAAATAGACTACGGAAAAAAGCTGGTACCCTTATTCCAACCTCTCAAATCTGGAGGACCTAGTTGAAACAACTTGCCTCTTGGGCAGAAAGTGCTAACGTGAGTTGTTTTTGGTTCTTTAGGGAGGGACACGTTTTGGGGGCGGCCACTTCTCAGAGAGACTGTAGCAGGACTTGGGAGGGCCGAGAGTTGGGTTGGCTGAAAGAGGAATTCCATCCCCACCGGGTCTCCGCTCCTTCTTTGGCCCAAGCTTGTGGTGGGTTGAGTTGATTTGGTGGGGTTGTTTTTGAGTTTTTGAGGGTGCCCCTTTTTGGCTTGGTTTGGAGGGAAACCCAAGGGTGCATCCCCCTACAGTTTGACACATCCAATAGCAACCCAGGGTTTCTTAAATTTGAAAAAAACATCCAGGCTGATGAGTGATAGCTTCATTTTTCCAGACCGGATTTCTCTAAAGTGTCCGGCGTGGCTCATAGTCACAGTGCATAGGCTTGCGCACTTACCCAAAGCGAATTGAACGTTGAGCATTTGCCTGGCATTTCTTTGTTTTTTAAACAGCCACATGTTTCTGTTGACAGATATGATCCACAATCAATTGTTTGTTATCCCCTTGAGGCTGGACCGGAAAATAGCAAAAACAACACATACAGTCAAGTGGTCATATTTTGACACACACCCTTCTATGGTTAGTTCAGGTGCTGCTAAATATTGCTACCCTGAACATTTCTCTAGGATTTGTCTCAACCCGGCTTGGCGTGTTTGTGTTAGTTGTTTTGCTCCGAGCCGTTCCTAAAGCCCCACACCCTGCGGCATGCTATTCCTCTGGGACCTTGCCAACTTGTGCCCATTGAGGGGGAAGGGGGGGTGTCGGTGAATGCCGGTGGGCGCCCAGTTTCCCAGGTCCAGAAGTTTTGGAGCTCTCGCGCAACCATTTTTGGATATTCCTCAACTAGGTCCCCCAGCGCCCTTTTACCCTTCTATGGTTGGGAGATTCGGTTCCCCTACTAAACAGACTACAGAAGAAAGTTGGTACCTTTATTCTAACCTCTCAACTCTGGAGGACCTAGCCAAGCATTTTTGGATATACCTCAAGAAAAGGGGGGACAAAAAAAAACAACGCGCGGCTTGCCCGATGGTTTCGCTTTGCCGCCACTCAGCTTGTCGGTTTCACTGAGGCCCTGGACATCGAGGGCATTTGGGTCTGCAGCTACACGGAGTGGGTGCCCACCACTCCGTGCAGTGCTGAGTGCGGCGGCGGCTTCCGCACCAAGGCGATCTCCGTGTTGTTTTTGTTTTGTTTAAACACAAAATATGTTGTGTGTGTGTGTGTGTGTTTGGTGTTTTTTTTGTTTTAAAGTTTCAAGCCCAGTTGCCCAGTGGGTTTCTTCCTGTTTTCAACTTGTTTTGGGAAGGGCTCCGATCATGGAAATCCACTGAGCATCTGAGCAAGGCTTCTTTTTACTCACTCTGTGAGTTCATATACTTTAGTACCTGTTTGGGCTTGGACCATCTTAGTGGTAAACAAAAAGTCTGGACTGTTTTTGGTCCATCCACTCAGGAAGTGAGTTTGTGTGTGTGTGTCTTGTATGCGTGTGTCTTGTGTTTATCCCCTTGCCTTATACTGCCATGAGTGTTTTGTTGTTTAGGGAAAGACTCCTTATATATATCAGCTTCCCCTTGATTCGTGGTTTGGATTGGTGGTGTTCACCCTCAAAAGCCAGGGGTTCCATTACTGGCATTTGGGAAGCCAAAAGGTTTGTCACGCTAGTTTATGTTGCGCAATAGGATAGTAAAGGACCACAGTGAATCAGCGCTCCCCTCCTTAATTGAGCATCACCTCAAGGGGAAGCTCAACTAAAATTCGTCCGAAGCCTGATGTTTACACCTACTCAACAGGGCAATGTGTGTGTGTGTGTGTTTGTCATTTACAGGGGAAACCAAAAAGACATGTGCATTTGTTGGGTCCCCTTGTTCTGACACGTACCCATATGGACCAAAATCAAGCATGTGCTTTGTGGCAAAGGCTGAGGCAGTAGATGGGATCGGAGTTCATGGATTCGGGTGGTTTGAGGTATAGGTTGCGAGTTTGGCGTGGAGGGTAACATATACCATCTTAAAGGAGCTGTTGGCGTTCCCTTGGACTTTCACAGTTTCGCTGAACATGCAACTGCTTTGTTTATGCAAGGGCCATGGTATATCTTCCAAACAACCCAGCTGAAAGCGCAGCTGGCCTATTTCCGAGGAAGCTGCAAGTCATAGACGGTCTGGGTTTCATGGCTTATCTACGTGGTTAGTTTGTCCCCAGCGATATGCCTTTTGAATATCCCAGATCCAATATCGCTGAGATATGGGGATTAAACCAACTATATCCAGTATCTAGGGTGAACACCTGTGCAAACCATACCACAACCCAAGGGCAACCGGTGCCCGCAAGCAAATTCGAGCCTGGGGATACTCAGGGTCTTATAGTTCACTGATTAATACCCCGATCTACACCCCAGGTAGCCCCCAAGTAACCCCCAAGTAACGTCCCGGTAACGCCACTTCAAGTTGTTTTCAGGTTGGTGCAGAGATTTTGAGGCGGTGCCATTGCAACGTTGTGTTGCCTTTGAAATATGTTTGGTTGCTTGGGGAAAGCTTACATGCCCTTTCAACCAGCCGTTCCCCTGGCCCGCAGATATTTTCTCTTGCAGGCTTGCATGCCATTTTGGGCATGTTTCGAACATCTCAGATGTACCAGGCGGTTTGATTTTTGGGGAACCCGTTGGGAATGATCTGATCTTGGCTTGGTTCCACTTTGAACTTTTAACCTTTTGGATCGCAGGGAGTCCAACAACCAGCCAAGACAAGAGTTTGCCTGTTGGTTTGTCCTCAAACCCAAGCCGAAAAGCCGGTATTCTCAAAAAACGCACACAACCACGCACACAGACACCACGCAGACAGCTGACCTGCCAGGTGCGGCGGCGCTTGCACGCACCCCCGCCCAACCACAACCCCAAGCTCCTGAAGAACTGCGATGAGCCGGAGGAGCTGAACCAGAACTGCCGCTAAGCCGGAGGAGCCGGCAGGTTTTACGTACAGGTTTTCGCCAGGCGGTGCAAGGTTGACCCACGATTGGCCAGTCCTTGTTTTCAAGGACTTGCCAGACAATTACAGGTCTGTTTTTGTTTTTTTTCACCAGGGGTTTGCCATGTGTTTTCATGGGTTTGACTACCTTGTATTTTCCACCTCTAGTAAATAGAACCAAGTCTTAAGGGCTGGGACCTTCCATGATAGTTTGGAGGGTAACCAAAGGCTGTGCCAGAGGATTACAGGTTTGTGTTGTTTGGTCATGGTTTCTGTTGTCTCCCGACTTAGGAAAAGCACAAAAACAAAAAAACCTAAGCCATGGGTTTGCAGGGGTAGCGGTTGAACTCACGGCCGAGGCAACACCAAGGAGTGCGACATCGACTGCCAGCTCAGCGACTGGACGGCCTGGGCCAGCGGCGAGTGCTCGCGGAGCTGCGGGAACGGCACCATGGTGGAGCGCCGGAATGTGATCATGGGCCCCAAGGGCGCCTCAGACGGAATTGGACATGGCTGTGGGTCAACAGGCCGGCTGGCGCCCCCAGTGAACATCCGATTCAATCCAACCACTAAAACAGGTTCTAAAATGGGTGGTGCACCTACCAACCACAAAGGTACCATTGGTTTTGACAGCCACAGGGATCTGTCGGTATATGGGCGTAGGTGTCCTTTTTGGTGGGTTTGCTCCAAAAATGGCGGGCCCTAGATGGGTTTTTTGGCCCAAGGGAGCGCCTTGGAATCGGAAGTGGCCATGGGTTGCATAACCTACGAGGCATTTTGGGGTGGAGGAACATCCGTTTGCCACCCATTTTGATGTTCACCAGGGGTACAGGGTTTTGACCCACTGCCAATTAGGAAGGAGGGTTTTTGAGGTGGTTCGGTGGGTTGGGTTGGGGGGTTCCGTATTTAAACCAATGAAAGTTAACTTTTGGCAGGGGACCCAAGGGCGCCTCGAAATTGAAATGGATCGGTGTGGAGATATGGGCGTACTCCCGAAATGGATCTTGGAGTGCGTGTTTTCCCTTGAAACCACCAAAAAACAGATTCTCAAAAAGAAGGAATTGGAATCCAGATGGCGGTTCTTCAAATAAGCGGCCCCCTAAAGTGCTTGGGTTTATTGCGACCAAAATGGGTCCATTGCGAGAAACACCCATATGGATGTGAAGATTTGTTGGAATCAGACCCCGCAAAATCGCGCAACGGTTTTCCTTTGTTTTAAACCCCGAAAAGGGATTCAAGGGGTTGGGTCGTCTTTTTGTCGGAACCCCACAAAATGGTAGCTTTCCTTCTGGGTTCCCTTTAAAAGCACAAAAGGGATGAGGGTGGCCAATTTGTTGGGTGGTTAAAAAGCAACATCAAAGGAACACCCACCATTTTGGGGGGTTCCCCCAGTTTGACACAAAGCCATAGAGTAATTATGGCTTGTCAAAATACAATTTCGGACCCCAAACAAGGATTTCGGTTTTCCCTTTGGTGTCCCCTGAAGCCAACCTGAAAAGCGTACCCTCAAAGCACACATTCTAAGTTTCCCCACCAAAAGCCACCTCGAAATGGGTGGTTTTGCTTTGGTGTCTCTTTCAAACCAGCCAAGAGCGGTATGGTCAACAAAGGACATCAGTTGAGTCCAGGATTGTGCAAAAGGTTGCTAATCAACTAGACTGGCCCTTGACCCCTTCCCTTGAAACCAGAAAGTTTCTGTTCAAACAGTAGTGGTTAAGCTGGCGCAGCCATGTGCCCCTGACACAGGACCCAAGATGGTCCAAGATAATCTATTCAACCAGGGGGTCGCTGATATTTGCATGTTTAAAGGTTAAACATGTGGTTGCCATCTTGTAACTGAGTTGTTTTTTTGTTGGGGGGGGGGCACAAAATGTGGTTTCCCTTCAAAACCACAAAAAGGGGCAGCTCTGGGCAAGAGAAGGCCAGTTTATTACTACATGGATAGATATTGCGTGGGCCAAACGTGTTCTTTGCAGACCTGGAGATTCCAATGCCGAGGAATTCCTAGGCGTTTTGGTTCTCAAGGCGTTTTAGGTGTTTTAGGTGTTTTTTTTTTGTTGCGGGCGTTTGCCCCTTCTTCGCGGTAGTTTGCGGGTGTTTCCTGTTTCAATTCGTTTGGCGCTAATTTGCGGGCGTTTGCGTCCAAAACACAGTCATCCTTGGCGTTTGAGTCTCGAGGGAGTTGTTTTCTACAGAGACTCTGGTGTCCTTTTTGTTTTTGTTTACCAATGTTGGAAGAATTCAACATAAGTGTTGCAAGGCCTTTTAAAGGGCTTTTCCCTTTAGAGGGCTCGTTCTCAACAGCATCGCCCATCCTTAGCCCATCCGGGGTTTGGGCTCTGGGGTTTTGTGGGGAATGAATTTGGCGGATGCTGCTGAGGATTCTTGTTCTAGTTTGCTATAGAATGGTTGGGTGAATCAGCTGGTTTGAACACAAGCTGAGTGTGCTTTTGCTTCTCGTGAATGGTGACATGCTTTGAAAGGGAACATGTGGCTGTGGCTCAAAAACACGTACCAAAATGGCACCCTGTAAATGGAAACAAGGACTAAAGCCTGCGTAACCCTGGCTCTTTAATATTGACCCACACCCATGTGTGAAAACGAACTGAAACCCACTGAATCGTTGAGCGGTTCCCCTTTATCACCAAATGTCTCTTCAAGCAGTGGGCTACAAAAGAAGCCACAGAGGGATGGATATTCGTGCTGCATTGAGGTTCCAGCTTTGGATCTTTCTCAGCATTCAGTATTGAAGTGAAGCTACCCAAAAGATATGGTTGAGTGCAAGTAGGGAACACCCAAGATGGGCGATGTCTTTAGTTTCTCTAGACTCCAAGCTTCAAAAAAACACCCAGACGTTTGGCAAAGGGGTAGTTTGCGAAAGTCCAGGACAGGTGGTTATGGGTCAAAATTCATCCGCAAGGGGACCGCAAGTCTTAGTGCATGTTTCCACTTACCAGGGTTCCATTCTGGGTATTTTGACCCACAGCCAGGTTTACGCCCCCACCACCAACCGGCCGTTTTGACCGTTTGAGGCTACGGCAAGATTTGTCCTCCCTGGCATGAGGACAAAGTGCGCGTCAGGACCAAGTTTGGCCCAGTGTTCAAGTGCCCGTTTGTCACATTGGGCGAAACTTGCAAGCATTCTGAACCCTAGGATCCTTCTTTGCAGAAAACCACCAAAGGGCTGGTGTCTGGAAAAGACCGATTCAGATTGTTGATTGAAAAGAATGGCGAATCAAGCGCTAGTGGATTTGAAGGCAAAGGGCTTGATCTTGAAAAGGGCTGGGATGGTAAAACAGAATGGGCAATCAACCCTACAAACGCAGGCGCTGTGTATTTGTGTCCTTTGTCAACGACAACCCTTACCTCACAAGGACCACGTGTATCATGAAACTTGCGGGTCATGCACCCGAGAATTCAGGCAAATGCCCGTTGAGGGAACTCTCACCATGACCAGATTGGGCACGATACCTCGCTATTTGATTCATGAGTTATCTTCCTTTTCGGCAAAGGGAACATGGTCAAGACTGAAGCTTGGTTCTCATTAGTTAAGCAAGAGCAAGCTACTCATCCAGATGCTGTTTGCGGGTCATGCTCTCTGACGGGGCTTTCTGGACTCCAATCGCGGTTTTTCGTTGCGATTGGCCGGAAAGGGAATTGGGAACCAACCACAACCCACCTTTTGGTGTTACACTCGGGTCCAAGTACCCAACATAAACTAGTTTTCGGTTTGGTTTAAGGGGGTTCGCCAATTGCAGATTCCCATCCGCAAATATGGGGTACTTGGACCCTTTGGGTAAGGGATCAACGGTTCATGCCCAAAGGACCGAAATCGGGATCGGAATTTAGGTCCCTTAGACCACAAAACCCGCCAGTGGGCAAGCCCCAAAGAAAATCACGCCCCTGTGTGTTTATTTGTTTCGTGGTCCTGCAAGGTTCGTTCACCCTTCTATCATTGGCCCCCGCGCCCTTTTCAAAAGTTGGGCGAAGTGGCTTTTTCCGGGCCTTTGGTTTCCTCCAGCACCCTAAAATCGGGGGGCCCCAATTTCCTTTTTTTTTTTTGGGGGGGGGGGGGGTGGGGGCGGGGGGGTTCTCTGCTTGCGGTTGGCTCGGTTTTTTCCCCCGCGGACGCCTTTCGCCACTTTGGCTTCGGCGCCCAGCGCCGGAAGCCGCGGGCGAGGACCAAGCCCTGCAACACCTTCCCCTGCGAGGCCAGCTGCAAGGAGAGCCCTCTGGCGGAGAAGTACCGGGACCTGGCGAAGGACCGTCAGAGAGCTGCGAAAAGGGGGAATCTTTGGGGAATCTTTGGCCAAGGGATGTTAGGACTTGAACCTTTGGCCAACCAATGGGTTTTCCGAATTACACCAAAAGTGATTCACTTTTAGCGGGGGAGCAGAAAGCAACCGAGGAGTGCCCCGCTCACTTCCCGAGTTCTTGGATTTTTAGGTCCCCCAACTAGGTGCCCTTTCTCACCCCATTTCTTGGGGAAGGGTTCCGCTACTAAAATAGACAAAAATGGGTACCCTTATTCTAACCTCTCCACTGGAGGACCTAGACTTGAGTCTTTTTGGGCTTGTTTGCCATATTGGTGGTCAACCGAAAGTTTGCTCAATTTTTGTTTGGGCCATCTGCTCAGGAAGTGAGAGGGTGTTGGGAGTGAATTCGCTGAAAGGAAATGATGCACGATGGTTTATTCCGGGTGTTGGGAATGAACCGGTGTTGGGGATTTCCGAACAAAGGAAACCATGGGATGGATGGTTTTTGGCCGGAGGCATTCCATTTCTCATTCCCTGCCTTTCGAACCAGCAAGGACATCGTAATCCCGCAAACGCTGACCCCAAACTGAACCCCGGAAAGCGCGGTCGGTGGCGCTTTTCGTTATTGCCGGTTCAAGGTGGTTTTGCTTGATTCCCAACCGAATACAATGGAGGGCAAAAGAGGATTGGGTCTGGAACAAGGTGCGTTTTTGTCTCAGGAGATGTATCAACTGCCGGTTAAAAGGACAGTGTGCCAGAGAGGATTCCTGCACTTCCCATCAGCTTCTGTATTTTAGACATTTGGGGGGGACCAGCTTACCCAGAGGGTCCCTTGGTACCTCATGAGGATGGCGTTTGGGGGGAAAAAATGGGTCTAAGTACCTCAGAAGGTACCAAGGGACCCTCTGGGTTAGTGTTGAACCAGATCCCCAGAATGTTTGGTGGTTTTCTAGAAAGAAGGCTCCCTGGAAAGAACGCTTTCAGGAAACCGTCAAAAATCCAGGGGAAACAGATCCGGCTGTTGAAAATAATGAGAAGAATGGGGAATCAACCCCTTCTAAGGAGGTACTTAGACCCCTTTTTTCCCAAAACAAACATCCTCATGAGGTACCAAGGGACCCTCTGGGTTAGTGGTAACCTCGATCTCTTGTCCTGACCGATACCCCAAGCGAGTATTGGACCTACCGGTTTTCCTTGGGCTCGGATTTGGCCCAAAGTTGGGTCCGTCTTGTTTTAGGCCCCCCCCCCCTTTTTGGTGGGTTTTTACAGGAACCCCAAAGGAAACCACAAATTTTAGGGCCCCTTAAAAAGACAGACCCATTTGGCCTTGAGTTGTTTTTCTTTTTCCTGATTTCCATTTGTTGCCAGGTTCCCGTTCTTTTCGACAAGCCGTCCCCTCAGAAGGGGTGTTCTTGGGGTGAACCGGGAGAATCCCCCGGTTCCCTGCAGGAGGGCATGATCAAGCTTCACGAGGACAAGCCGAAGAGCAGCTTGCATCGACTCGATCTGCCGTTTTTGAGCGCGTTTCCGGCTCACCGATGCGGAGGTAAACCGAGCTCACCATGTGTGGGTCCTTGACTTTGGATCCTGTCTTGTCTTTGGATATACGTAGTATACGTAAAAATAAATAGATGAAATAGCTAAACATCTGTATTACAACATAACAAGGAAAAAAAACAACTGCAGACACGTTTGATCATGTGTCCTACATGGATGTCGAAGAGTTCGTCCCCAAACTTTGGAACCCGCAAAACAGTATATCCAACCAATGAGATGTTTTTGTTTGTGTTTTGTTTTTTTGTGTGTGTGCGGGCGTTCTCTTCAGAATGGGTATGTGCTCAAATGAAGGAAGGCTCCAAAGAATTAAAGGGTTTCTGCCTGGATTCCTTTCAAATTCAACTCCAAGAAGGGTGCCAACTGAAAACCAGGCAGATCTGCAACCTAGATCAAAACGCAAACCGATTTCCCCTCTCTGATGACTCCTGGGTCGTTCATTTTAGCATAGTCTACCCACACGAGGTGCACGTCCTCGAGCGTTCAGCTGCTGGGGAAAGCGGCGTTTCCCCTGTGACATTGATTTGTTCACTTTGTGGAGCTCCGCTTAAGACGATAGAAGCTCCGGTTGGACCTGCAAACCACTCTGCTGTCACCCCTTCTGTCGACAACCAGGTTTTATTCAGCATGCAGCTAGCCTGCGGACCACCTTCTCAGACATCATGTTTGTGGCAACGACAAGCTTGGGTTTGTTCCGACCAATCCACTCAGGAAGTCAGTCCGTGGTAAGGTGTGCAAAGCTGCACTCGTCCTAGATACCGTCGGGTCCCACAATCGGACAAGGGCCTTTCAAAGCATTAGATGCACAGCTCCTCACCATTCTTGGTATTTGATGCATGTTCCTGTGTGTTTATTGTATGCTTGGCAAATAGTTTTAGTCCGAACTTTTTCTTTTTGACACCTGACTCCAAACATGGGTGCGTTTGGCTTCCTCCCGGTTTTCGTGTATTTTTGTTTGCTTGCACGTGCTAGAAGTATGACACCCCGCCAAAAAAGGGATGGCAACAGGACAAAGCCCTTGGGGATTGGAACTAATGGGTTTCACCTCATTCCTTGAGACTCTCCTCCACCAGGACCATTTTGCAACTTGGGTGGGTTGCCACCTAGGCAAGTCGTAGGGGATGGGAATCCACTTTGAGTATTTTTGCACCATGAGGGTGCCTGACCTCTGAAGGACATAGTCTTACGATTTCAGGAGTGCCACCTTTAATTGAATGAGGGCTCAAAAAGTGAGACTAGGCCTAAGACACGGGCTGACACCTGCGCTATGCGAGGCAAGCCGAAAGACGAGCTGGTGGACTTGAATGGCACCAACGAAACCATCGAGGAGGAGGAGGAAGAAATGAACACCACTGGCTTGGAGAAGCTTGGCGAAATGGCTCCTCACCATGCTTTTGCAAGGGGGTGGCTAGGTGGCTAGACCAGGTCAGTTCGAGTCAAATTAGGCCTACGTGTTCACCAGAGCCAACGGGCCAACCCACGCGTTTTGGGGATGACCTGCGCGCATGCGCGACAAGGAATCCACATTCCCCATGCTGAGGCAAACATGTTTTTTACGGACAAACCTGCGTGGTGCACTGATGCAAGCAGTCTTGGCCCTTCTCCCCCCACAACGCAGTTCTTGGGAGCCCCTCCCCCCTCCCCTCCCCCCTCCCCTCCCCCCCCTCCCCCCTCCCCTCCCCTCCCCCTCCCCCTCCCCCTCCCTCCCCCTCCCCTCCCCCCTCCCCTCCCTGAGGTCCCCTCCCCTCCCTTTTTCTCTCCCCTCTCCTTCGCACGGTCTTTGGGAGCCCCTTTTGTTGCCTCTCGGGTTCGCAAATGTAAATGTGGCTGTTGGCTCCTGACTCTATGTTGCGCCGCACGGATATAGACAAGTCTTGCAGTGGTTTGCTCGAGGAAGGTGAATAACACAAACGCCAACGCGGCCACCAACGAGGAGGACAGCAACAGGCCGGGAGCGATGAGGCGCGGGAAAAGGCACATCGCAGCAAAGGCTTTGAGGGTGTACCCTCCAGCTGGGCATTTTCTGCGTTCCTCTTTGCTTGGTGCGGAAACCCCCTTAAAAGAATGAAGCAAGGCAACCCCACAGGTGCGGGAACACGCAAATTGCACAGAATCCGTGTCAAGGAAGGGGACCTGGGGCGGCAAAGGCATAGGCTTTGCACAGAGCCTTTCTTGCCCTTGGCCAAAGGGTGGTTTCTAGGGAGGGCAGCGCAACTGCTACATGGTTCTAGAAAAACAACAAGTGGCGTCTGACTGTGTGATTCAAGCGAAAATCCATCCAAGTCCTGGGATCCATAGGGCACCGACCCCCAGGCGGGGTTCACTTCTGGGGGACGCGATCCATCAATCCGCCAGGTGGACTGCGGGTCAACACAAGTTGATCGCAGATCGCTTTGGACGTCCAAACTACCCATTTGGTGGAGGAAGCTTTCGGAGCTATTTTGGTAAAATGAGCTTTCCCCTGATGAAGCCTTGTTGGGGATTTCTTGCATTGTATTCGTTTTTATTCTCTCCTTCCATTTAATTTGCTGAAATGCATATGTTCTGCGTTGCAACCTGTTCGTTTTTTGTTTAAATCTCTTACCGGACATATCTTCCGATCTTTTTCCTGGGGACACAAAGAAAGGCCAATGGAGGTCTCCCATCATGGCAGGAACATCGCGAGCATCGGCAACGCCTCGGAGCAGTCCGAGGAATCTCTGCTCAGCACCGGCTCGAGCTTCAAGACCGAGTTCTTGGCCATGGAAACGCCCCGCGCAGAGGCCGCCGCGAGCCATAAACTCTAGGGTTCCTTGCCCCCAATAGAAGAATGGTTGACCCAAATTGGATGATGACAATGCTTAGGTAAGCAATGGTGGTTGTATGACCCCCCCGTGGTTTGAACCCCAGGGATTAACATCAGGGTGTGGGATCACTCGGGGGTTTATCCAACCACTTCTGTGATATCTTGGGGAATCTTCCCCTTATGGGGGGTCAGTCTTTGGCAAGCTCGGTGTGTTGTATCACAGAAGTGGATTCCAGTTCAATCACAGCCCTGCTTAACATGGAACCCACCAAAAGGTCCCTGCAAAAGGAACATGGTCTTTCGAGGAACCCCCTGTCAGGCTCCATGTTAATTGGTGGGAGGGTATGTGTTGAGTTTAAGCTGTAGCTATTCTCGAAGTGATGTTAGCTGATATCAAATTTGGTTTGCTTGGCCCCGCCCAAATGACAACAAATAATGGGTTTTTTCGACCCCGCTAGAGCGCAAGGATGTTCCCCAAAAGACGAGTTTCCCCACGTCTAAGCACCATGTTTTTTGGTCTTCCGGCTCACCCCCCATCCTACTTGAGAAAGGCCAGTACGTATTGTCAACATTTTGGGATCCTCTTGGGACGGTTGGTGTCCTGTTCATATTCTTTAAAGCAACCTATGGAACGGGTATGCGAACAAGCCACACACACACATTTGATTAGCGGCACACTCACAGCGGTCCACCCACCCACCCACCCACCCGCCCGCCCGCCCGCCCACCCACCCACCCACCCACCCACCCCACCCACCCACCCACCCCACCCACCCACCCACCCACCCACCCCACCCACCTATCCACCCACCCACCCACCCACCCACCCACCCACCCACCCACCCACCCACCCACCCACCCACCCACCCACCCACCAAACCAAACCAAACCAAACCAAACCAAACCAAACCAAACCAAACCAAACCAAACCAAACCCCCCCCAAAAAAAATACACCAACCAAACCAAAACCAACCAACCCCAACCTAGCCCACCCACCCACCACCCACCCACCACCCACCCACCCACCCACCCACCAAAAGCACCACCCAAACGCTGCCCCCCCATTTGCGTCAGTCAGGTGGGCCTGGCCAAGTCCAGCTGCTCGGAGCCCTGCGGCGGCGGAAAGCGGGTGGTGCTCATCCCCTCCGAGCAGAAGGCGATGGCACGGGGGGGTTTTGTGTGTGGGGGGGTTCGCAGGGGGGGTTGAGGGGATTTGTTGGGGTTGGGTGGGGGTTGGTGAGGTTTTGCGGGATTTGTTGGTTTGCGGGGAGGGGGGGGAGGGGGGGTGGAGTTTGTTTTTTTTTGGGGGGGGGGGGTTAGCTGTTTGTTGGTTTTTTTTTTTGGGGGGGGGGTAGGGGTAGAAAAAACACCTCAACCGTAGGGGTAGAGGGGTTGAGGGGTTTTAGTTGTGGTTATTTATGTTGTTTTGGGGGGGGAGGTTAGGGGGTTTGTTGGGGGTTGGGGTTGAGTGGTGGTGTTTAGGGTAAAATCGGGTTTGGGTGGGTTGACACAGTTTGGTGGTTTGAGGCCAGGGTCCATGAGGGGGTGAATCGCCCCCTTTTGAGGGTGGATTCTGTTTTTGGGCTCAGTTTGGGCCTTCCATTCAATCCATGGTACCGCAAGGCAAAGCTGTTGTTTTAGAAGGGGATAAAATCACCAGCAAGTTGGGAGAGAGTTCCAGGCCATGGCTTCTTTTTTTGTTTTTTCAGGGTTCAAGCGAACACCCCAGGGGTTTTTCAGGGTCCTACCAGGGTACCAGGCTGAAACGAGGCCTCCGGTCTCCGATCCGATCCGCCTTCTTCTTCGATCGATCGAGAGGTGGCCTCAGATGGGGAGGAGAAGAACTGCCCCTTAGCCTTCGAGGAGGATTGCAACATGTTCCCCTGCCAGCCCTTGATGCTGCAGCCCCTCGATTTCTGAGCCGATTTCTGTGGCCGGGTGGATGTTGCTTGCGTGTTTTTTTTTGGTGAAGGGTTCCGACTCCTCGAAGCTCAAGCAACCAAAAAAAGGGGGCCCCCTTTTTTTCCAATGGAGACCCACTGGGCATCTGAGTGATTTTTTCCCGGGTCCGCAAGATCCTCAAGAGGCTATGCAACGATTTTGGTTCTCTTTGTAGTGGCTTCCCCCTCTTGGGATTATGGAAGGGGATTGGCCATGGCTTACGAATGCCATCTGATGGATCCAAAGCATAGATTACCCCATGCTATTTGATCGACAGATCCAAAGGAACCAAAATTGAAGGAATTCCCCAAGAAGTTGTGGATGGATGCCAAGATTGAAGAGCCGAAGAGCCGATCGAAAAGGAGCCCTTGAAGGAATCCAGAAACGGGGATTCCAGGGAAATAAGGCTGTTCCACCAAGAAAGAAACACGTCCTGCCATGCTGATGCTGCCCCTGGGCCAAGCAGAAGGGTTGGTGTATCCCGGAGGAGGGTGCAAAATGCCCCATCCGTGTTGTTGTCTTGGGGAGTCGTTTGGAAGAAGGTACTGGCGTGGTGTGTTTGGTATTGCTCCCTTTCAGTTGCTTAAGGTGATAGCTTGTGTGGTCCAATTGGTTTGAAAGGGAGATTGATTGCTATGCAATGCATGGGACAAATACCATGTTTCTTGTGTCCTCAAAATGCGAGGATCAAACAAGCGGAAACAAAGTGAGATCAATTCGTCGCAAATTATAGCAGCGATGGTCACGATTTGCTTACACCGCTTGTATAAAGAGGCGTGACATTGGGCAAACTCCATTACCCTGAGGTGTCGGATTGAACAACTTTCGTGGTTTGCTTGCGCTACCGTGGAAAAACGGCGTGACATTGGGCACACTCAGCAAATTACCAGGAAGATGTGTTTTTGTTTGCTTTTGCGGAGCTTAGCAAATTACCATGTAGTAGAGGAGGTCGAGAAGAAATGTTGACCCTGGCCAATATCACCAAACCCGAAATTTAATTTTGGGGTTGGTGGTCTCACAGTAGGCCGTGGGTACCTTCGCATTTGTGTTCAAGATGACCAATTTGAAATTGCTAAGCATCACCATACTTAGCACACCGTTTGTCCTTCTTGCCTTTTTGGTTTTCCCTTTCAGCCAGCCTATTTTTCAGGGAGCCGGCCCATACCCATCCCGGCTACCCACTGGTGCTGATTTTCCTTTTAACCAGGGGGAACCCGTAAACAACCAACATGTGGTACCTTTGTTCTTTCTCTAAAATAGGCTACGGAAAAAGATGCCCTTTTTCCCATGGTTTAGTGGGGCTTCTGAATATTATATATTATATTAGTCAACCTCGGTCAACCTTGGATCAGCAGCGGGTGTCCCCTTTTTCCACTAGAAGTCTGCTACATTACTTTGTAGGTGAAAGCTACTGTTTCGCTTTCTACGCAAGCTTGTCCCGCGGTGTAAGCCAAGCAACCAACCAGTCAGCCAACAACCCAACCATCCAACAACAGCAATAGCCAGCCAACCAACTTACCAACCAACCCAACCTACCAACCAACCAACCCTACCTATCAACCTACCTACCAACCAACCCAACCAACCCTACCTACCAACCCAACCAACCCAACCAACCCAACCAACCCAACCAACCCAACCAACCCAACCAACCCAACCAAGCAACCAACCAACCAACCCAACCAAGCAAGTAGCCGGGGCGAGCTAGCCGTAGGCCAGCGACGCCTTGGCAGTACCCGGTGGTGGGCAAGTGGTTTCTGGTGGACATCGAGTTCGTCATCGAGGAGCTGGCCGAGAGTCTCACGATCCGTGCCCCGCGCCTTGGCTTCGGAATCGGTCGGCTTCGGAGGCTTGGAGAGGTCGGATTTGGGGTCGGCTTCGGGTGGCTCCCAGCCATCCGGTTCCTTAGCAACTTGTAGCTTTTTAGTGCTTGGTGGTTGGATTTCCGTATTTGACCCACTAAAAGTTAAACGGTGTCCATTTTTAGTGGTTGGATTTCCTATTTTAGCTTTTTTGTATTTAGTGGTAGTTTCCATTTAACCCACTACAAGTTGGTCACTTTTAGCGGGGGATCTGAGGGCAGCCCAGAGGAATCACCGGATTCAGAGAGGTTGGAGAGGTCGGATTTGGGGGAGGGGGATGAGCGGATGACCCCTGGATTCAGGATCAGTTCGGATAGGGTCACCCACTTAAAGAAGAATGTGGGGGAGGGGAAGGACCCATGAAAATCCAGGATCTCCATGTCCAATGCCATGTTCAACATGTTTAAAGCTAACTCCGAGGTCAGACATGGTAGACTTCAGGAGAGCGGTTTTGTGGCAACTCAACCTGGGCAAACAGACCACTGAAAGTGGATGCCTCCGACGGATGCCACTTGTCTGGCATAAAGGGAAGAAGGGGAGGTCCCGAGGTCGGGGTTTTGCGCCTTTGGCCCAGGTTCCGCCCCTTTTGTGCCCAATGGGATCCACCTTACTTTTTTTGGATTGTTTGCCCTTCGACATGAAAAAGCTGTCCGTTGTCTCTTCGGGGCAAGTCCTTGCACAGTTTTGATGGGTGATCAAGAAACGGAAAGTTTCAGGTGGTTGCAAGGATTAGGGGCCCCGCTTTCTATGTGTTTTTTTTGGTGGGGGTTTGCTGAATTTTGCTGGCGCCAAAGGCTCTCAACTAACTTGCAATTTTGACAGTTTGGGGTTCCGATGTCCCCAGCAAACAGCCAACTTGTTGCAGGGTTCACGTCTCATGTTTGTTGAAGGGACAATTTCAAGTGGGCTGAAAAAACACCCCCGCGCCTTTTCGTTATTTAAGGGGCCGTCCCTTAACTTGTTTTGTGGGCCAAAACCATTGTAAACCGATACAGAGGAAAAAACAGCCGATACCCCCAGAAGCCATCAACACACAAAGTGAGTGTCCCACCACCAGCACACAACTGGGCTTCCCCCTTCAGAACTGGGCAATTTTAAAGAAAGGTTCCCCTCAATTTCCCGGGCCTGGGCAACTTGGCAACTTGGAGCCCTACGGGATACCATTTTTTTCTGGAACGCAAGGCAGCAGCAATTCACCTAGAGGGCTCCAAGATTCTGGTTTTTGCGGATTTGGGAAGCTACTTCAGAATTCGAATGATTGCTTCCTCATTATTTTTCAACCATAGTGCTTTTCAATCACCAGCCGCTTCCCTGGGTTTCTGAAGGTTTTCCAGAAAGAAGGATTCCTGGAAAGGACGGAATTGCAACCCCAGAGGGTCCAAGAACCCTCTAGGGCCATCCTCAGGAGGTACTTGGATTTTCTGGGGAAGGTACCCCCAGAATGTCCCTTTGGCCATACCCCCCCCCCCCCCCAAAAAAGAAAACACCGCCCCATGTGTGGCGGTGCTCGCACCTGGGGCGACCCATCGTCCGAGGCCGGACTTCCTGTTGGCGGCCACCGGGGAGAGCAGCGAGTGCTTCCTGGTGGAGCACTCCATGCCCAACCTCGAGCGCCTTGGCACGGTCCTTCTATCGTCCATTTGCTCGAGACTTAACTTTGCGGCTCTCAGCCATCTTTTTTAGTGTTTGGTGGGGATGTCCATTGAATCCATTAAAAGTTAAACTATTAGCGAGGGATCTGAGGACAGCCCAGCTAATAAAAGTACCCGGTTGGTTTTAAAGGGACTCTGTCACTGCTGGACATATTATGTTCTCATGTGTTCGCATGATTTCCAATTTTCGCCGTTGGTTTCCTGGACATATTGGTGCTTTTTCCAGGGGATTTCAGCAAATGGAGACTATGCTGCCCGTTTTCTCACCACACACTTTGATTCGTTCGCTTCGGCCTTTGACGTGTGAAAGTCTCACTGGGCGGTGTTGATGGATAAAACTAACATCCTCAGGGTGGTGGTGTAACCCGGCAGGGCTTTGTCCCCGCCAACTGGTGGAGTTTGCCTATTCACAGTCCTTGCTCTTACTCTGGTGCGTTTCTATTTGTGTGTGTGTGTGTGTGTGTGTGTGTGTGTGTGTGTGTGTGTGTGTGTGTGTGTGTGTGTGTGTGTGTGCGTGAGTGTTTCTTTGGAGGGTGCCTTTCGAGGTCATTTTTGGTGCGGTGGATTGAAAGGGAAACCATTGCTTCGGTCTCCTTTGTTTGGCACATACATCGCAGGGTGAATCACAGTGTGGAAGCCTGAGCTCTCACTGTGAGCTTCGTTTTTCCCTTGGCTTTTCCTTCAGCATTCCGAAGAGGGTATCCTCAAACAAATAAAACTCCCACTGAATCAAACACAGCATGTTTGGTTGGGGGCAACAGCGGTAGCTTTGACGGCTTGACAATGGCTTGCCGTTTAGCAAAGCGTACCCTGTGTACCCCAAACCTGGGGCCGACCACATGGAAGAAGCAAACCGGTTTTCTGAGAATATCCATGCTTGGCTATCCCCTTTCGTCCCTGTCCACCCCGAAATGATATGGTCGTCTTTGAGGGTCTCCTCTTGGTTGCTTTAAAGGGAAGCCCCACAGAGAGCCATCTCAAGACGCAGCTGTGTAGAACGCGAAGATGGCGCTAGGAACTGCACGGTGTACCCGGGGCAGACGGGCCTGAAGACAGGGCCCATCATGGTGCTCAACTTCTCCAACCCTCTGGAGCCCCAGAACTCCTATACTTGGAAGCGGGCCGCTTTGATCCAGCCGTCGGGCGCGGGCAGTCGGGGAGGGAGTGAGGTGGAGTGTTGGTTTCTGGGGTGTGTCTTCTTTTGGGTTCCTAGGAATCGGAGCCATCAACATGGATTCGACTTTCGTGTTGGTGTCCCTCTACAACCACAAAAAGGGCGTACCCTCAAAAAGGACACTTTGCTCCACCATTTTACCATCGTTTTGCCGAAAACCATTTGGAAAACCACCATACACGTCGCTCCCCCTATTTTTGAGACATACACATTTTAGCGTGTTGCTGTTAAAATCATTAGGCTTGGGTCATTGTTTGCTTAAAAAAAAGAAAAAGACAAGCAAAACCAAAAAATGGGGGGCGTCTCCAAATTGATGGGAGCCAAAGTGCGAGGCTTCCCGATGGCAGGGTTCCTTTCCCAGGGCTCCCAGCTACTCTAGTAGGTAACCCTTCGGTATGGCTACCTTTTGGTTCCACATCATGCATTCTCTGGTTTCCTGGAAGCACTGGGTTTGACAACAGATGTGCCCATGTCTTTTGGGCTAATTACGAGAGATCGGAGGTTTGCTTTTTTAAGTAGACCTCGCCTGTGACGGAGAAGCTCTAGAGGATTCCAACCGTGTTTCCCTTGAGGCATTGTATTTGTTGCTTGCTTGCCATTCGCCGGGAGCATTAATCATGTTGGGACTGTGTTGTAGTCTGCGCTTTGCCTATCAGGATATGTGTTGGCTTCAAGTCCCCGTAGGGAAACCGAAGTGGTGTTGCGCCGCCTGTTTGGTTGACTTGTTGCGATCTAAGGGTTGCTTTTAGCCGTTAAACCATGACCCGTGGCTTTCCTTTGGTTCCCCTTTGCGGTTGCCAATTGTGGCTGTGTCGTTTTTTGAGGACCCCGAAAATCGTGGGTGTCCTTTTGGTTCCGTTTAAAACCACCCAGAAAGGGGTACCTTCAAAAAAAAGACGCACCCATATTGCTACGTGCCAGGATTTCGGAACCTGTTGGAGAGGCTAGCGGAAGATCAGCTCTCCAAGATAGACTAGGTGCCCCAGCTAGGTGCCCGACCTCTCACCCCTTCTTTGGTTGGGAGGGTTCCCCTACTAAAATAGACTAATAACAGAAAAAGTTGGTACCCTTGTTCTAACCTCTCTACTGGAGGACCTAGTAGCCAAACAATTGCCGACATGGACATCATAGTTTAGGCCAGTAATGGCCCACTTTGGTATGGATGCTGTTGCCCAATTTCCTGAGAATTTATTGAAGCTAGTTTTCTAAAAGCAGGGATCTATTTTACTTCAGTGTGGTTTACACTCCCTGGGTCAAACAAATCGTTTAATTTGGTGGTGTAAACGTGTTTGCCCACGGGCTCAATCCCAAAGACATGCTCAATGCTCATGAATCAAAGCGAATGTCGAAATCTGACTTTGTATGTCCCTTTTCCTCAAGTGACACACCCACGTCTCGTGGGTCGTATACTTTAATGATACCCCTGCATACCCCTGATCCCACAACACCCAAGTATATTTCAAAGAAAACAACAGGGCATGGTGACTCCAATCTGTACAACGAGCGTGATACAACAGCAGGGGTACATGGGTAGCGCATGCTGCGCGCCTAGGATTGGTACTATGTCCGAGTTTGGGTGCAGCACCCGCCCACCTGCACGGGCGGCAACACTAGCGAGGGTCGATGTCTGGGCTACACCGGGGAGAGAGCTGCTCAGTGGCATTGTGCGTGTTACTTTGTCTTATAATACTTGGTGGCACCCAGCCGTGCGGTGTCTTAGCTTTTTTAGCTTTTTAGTGTTTAGTGGGGATGTCCATTTAACCCGCTAAGAGTTAACTTTGTGCGGGTAATCTGAGGACAGCCCACAATATAGTATAGTCCTGGTTGATGAATCGGAGTGTCCCGTTTTACAGGCAATCCTTGACTTTTGGGGGCCAAGATCCCCCCCTGTTAATCCAGGAGGCTTATCGATCCGGTGTCAACATTAGCAATCAGTTAGCGAACCCAACCAATGGGTACAATAAGCGCACAGTTGGAGATGTTCATAGCACATGGCTCCGCCGCAAAAAAGGGGTTTCCACGTGCAAGCTGAGTTACATATATGGAAGCGGCTGGTCCCGAGCAAAGGGTTTCCCTAATGCGCCCTAAGGAACCTCGTGTATTGCTCTCGACTACCCACTCCCCTGGTCCCTCTTCCCCCTTAGGGATTCCAAACATCGCCTCGAAGGTTCCACGTGCTAGCTGATGTGTTGTGAGACCTCTACACACGACCGCATCACTAGAGCCAACCGTCAACGGTTTTGGGCGCAGCTCTGAGCTTTGGGTGTTGGGTGGGTTTTGTTTTTCTTCATGTTGTTTTGTGCGATTCTGGTCGTTTAGATGTGTAGTTTTGCGGGGCGTGCGTCTTTGTCAGTCCACTGATTTGTTTGGTGGATGTGCGTGCTTTGTTTCGCTTTGGGGGAAACGTCTCGAAACTCGGCCGTCTATGGTTGGTGTCCTTTTGGCTTCACTCCCAATGCGAAAAGAGGGGCTGGTCCAGCTGGTAGGCAGACCCATGTATCTACATGGGTGTGTCTCTTTTTAGTTGACATGGACTTTGTTTTTCTTTAAAGACACACCCACTCACACACACACGTATATAAACACACATGGAGAATGTGGGTATCGAGGCTCAAAAGAAGACGAGCCACCCATATGGGTGTTCTTGTTGGTCAGCTTGGAAGATGGCTTCCGCAAATGTCAGCAGCGCCATGTTTTTTCCCCAAGAGACACCTAGCAGTCCCCAAAGTCTGCGAGCCTTGGACCCCCAAAGACCTCACAGTTCGTGGACCCTTGTAGGCATGTGTCCTGAATCCATTGCCATCTTTTGTCAAACAGACCTGGGCCATGTGTTTCTGGCCGGCTTTTCGGGAGCAACTGAGCAATGATCATCTAACGCGATCTAATTTTGCAAATGGAAGGGAGTACCCTAAATTTACCCGTGTAATTAGTTTTAACCGCTTTTTGGGCCGCCTACGTTTTTTTTTTTTTTTTTTTTTTTTTTCGTTTGGTACATTGACCTTCTTTTTTTTTCGTTTGGTACATTGACCTTAGGGGAGATATAGGCAGGCCTCAGCCAGTCCCTTGATTGCTATTGAGTTGGATGTTTAGACTTTGACTTTTCAAGGGGTTGTTAATGAAACCCACAAAAAGTTGAACACTTTTTTGCAGAGGGGGGCAACAGCAACCAAGCCGCGGGCTCATCGGCTCGGTTTCTCAGGATTGGACGCTGTCCATCCGCGAGGGCCAGCCGAACCCGCTCTGGGAGATTGCGCCTTTGTCGCATGCCAGGGTTGGGTAGGGTGGGGTGGCGTGGGGGTTCGTTCAGCAGTGAGGAACTTTGTGCAAATGACCTGTAAACTGCCAGGAGTGCGGGCAAGAAAGCCCTTCAAATCCAGGAAGAATACAAGAAAGTCAACATGTCGAAGCCCAATAAACCCTGGAAACATGAGAACTTCAACTTTTAAAGGCTCTTTAAGTTCAACTCGTGAAAACTCTTAACGCGCCAGTTGTGTGTAAGAGCTCTCAACGCTTGTTTTTCAGCCCACTGCATCTGGTACATATGAGATGACGTAAGCAAACAAAAGACCTCGCAACACTCATATTTAATATAAGCCAGTGACGGGAAATTCTACGCAACATGGCCAGCACCCCAGTTGTTGGTGGAAGTTTCGCAAACGTCCTGTAGAACCTCCTGCAGTTACGTTTGTTTACCCTTTTGCCTTTTGCCCCTTGAAACCCTTCAACACCTGTTAAAATGCGTTCCTTTAACCCAACACCTTGTTTCTCCTTAAACATTAGCAACACAAAAGAATGAACAACACATAGACCCATGTATATATATATATATATAGACACACACATTAATAATTTGTCAACCCTGAAAACCAACGAACAACATTAACCAATAGACCCACATATATATATATATATATGTATGTATGCACACATATATACATATATGTACACGTATATGTATATATATATATATACATGTGTAAGCCCAGAAAACCCCTCAACCCCCCAACAAAACGCCGCCCATGACCCATGACTCCCCCCCCGCAACCACCACCGCCCGCGGGTTTTCGGAGCTCGAGGTGATGGGCTCCTACGAGATCTACGTGGACGAGGCCTCGGCGCGGAAGATCTTCGACGCCCACGGGGAGAAGAACAAGTCCTTCACGGAGGAAGCCGAGGAGAACGCGCGGGGGGCCGTTTTTTTTGGTTTTTGGTTTTTAGTTTGTGTTTTTGTTGGTGTTTGTTGGTTTTTGCTGGTTTTTGAAGTTTTTTTCTTTTCTTTTTTTCTCCGGGGCGGGCGGGTTTTTGCCGGCTGGGGCCCTTTTCCCTTCCTGTATGGTAGAGAAAAGGCCGTCCGGCCCCCTTCTTTTCCGGGTTTTGCCCGGTCCACTTTGTTTTTGTTTGTTCGTTTTTTAAAAGGGTATTGTTGTTTTTTATCGTTGGGTTGTTGTTGTTTTTTTGCAGCCCCGGCTCTTGGCTTTTGGTTGGTCGGTTGGTTGGTTGGTTGGTTGGTTGGACTGCGTATTGGAACCGTCCGCATCCCCAGCATCACCGGCCTCACTCGGACTAGGGCTGCCTCTTGGCTTTTATTTGGTGGCAGTTCAGAGTTGCTCGGGACTGGTTTCGGGTGAGTGTTGGGGTTGCTGAGGTCTGAATCAGCACGGTCTTGGGTTTGTTTGGGGTTCATTTAGGCTCGGAAAAGGGCTGGTATCCAGGATGCCGTTGGGTGCGCCTGGTGTGCGGCTGGTTTAGAAGTGGCGTTAGGGTTGCTTTAGGGATGTGGTTGCGCGAGTTTGAGCCGGCTTGGGATTGGTTTTGGTATTTGGTTGGGTTTGGCCTGTAGCTGAGTTTCCTCTGGAGTGATGTTTCAGGGGACATGTGTCTTTTCTTAAGCCTCACCCCTGTTTGGTGGGTTTTGGGGAAACCAAACGGAACACCGACATCCATTCCGGGGGCTCTTTGTGGGAGCCCTGACTCGCAGGAGGTGGATCCGCCACCGACGCCAATAGCGCCTTGTTTTCGGTTTTCCGCCGGTGGGGCGCCCGGAACCGTGTCCTTTCTTCTCACGGTCTGCCTTTACTAGGTCCCCCAGTAGTGCCCTTTCTCACCCCTTTTTTGGGGGAGGGTTCCCATCTACTAAAATAGACTACAGAAAGAAGGGTACCAACTTATTCTAACCTGTCTACTAGGGGACCTAGTTTATGAGGGTAGCCCCTTTTGGTGTTGCAGGGACACCAAAAGGACACCGTTTTTTTTTGGGGAGGGGGGCCTTTGTTTTGAGACACACCCATGTGGCTTCTCCAAATCGTGGACCTTTCGGTCGGTGTTCAAAGAGAAACCAAATGGAAGCCAGCCATTTCGGGAAATGGATCTAGCTTTTTGGAGAACCCCCATTGTGTGTGTGTGTGTGTGTTGGTGTGTGTGTGTGTGTTGGTGTGTTTGTGTGTGTGTGTGTTTTGGGGCGGAGGAGGGACGATGTGTGTTTTCAATTGGTGTCCTATGTTTCAGCGACCCATGCTGATTCATCGTTCCGCTTGGACAGCCTCTACCCAGCCCTGCACAGACCCCGACCTAGGGATCCTTGCAAACATGTTTTGGGATCCTTACGGTAGGGCTTTCGATTTCGAGGTCAACCAATGAACCAAAACCTGTCCTTATTGCAGAGTTCTGGTGTTTTCTTAAAAGAGTGTCTGTGTTTTGCTTATGAAGCTCCTTCAGGTTCCATTATTGTTCAAATTGTTCGAGTTAGTGTACATATATATATATTTATAGCAAATAAAGCATATATATATATACACATATTCTAGAATGTGCCTCAACCTTTTTTGGGGGGATTTCCCTCAATCACCCAGCGAAAAGGCCTGCGTTCTGCCTGGCACTGGGGGACTGGGCTGTTGCTCCAAGTCCGAGTCGACGACGAACCGTCGCTTTGGGCGCAGCCTTTTTTCGGTTTTCATCCAGTGACGAGCCACCAGAGATGCGCAAAATATATTTGTTCAGCCATTTTCTGGGTTGGGTGAATGACTTGTGTCTTGCGATTACTTGAGGTTAACTGCTTGAGGTTGATTACTAGTTACCCGATCTTAGCCATTTCTTGGTTGGGAGAGTTCTTTCTCGGCAACTTACTAGTTTTCCTTGTCTCAGTCATGCATAGATTATGACTCGCGTCAACATTATCGCGTGATCAGGATTAGATGATTCATGTGACTTCCTTGTGGCAGAGTTGATCATTTGAAGTATGCACTACTGGTTGCTCTGCCCTGGCAGATGTTTTGATGATTTGCACTGTTCAGTTGTTTGGTTCCATGTTGCATCTTCCAAAAACAAGCGACGTGTTCATCGCATACAATCTTCGGGACTTAACTTACAGGAATATCATTTCAGTCAGTGGTAAACAGAAAGTTCAAGATGTCCTTGCAATGAAATGGGTGCGGATTTCCGCCCTCTTGATTGTTGACCATGGGTGGTGGATTGCTTGTTTCGATACCTGACTTGTTTATGCTTCAAACAAAAGCCTCATCAAAACCGGTCCAATTGAATGTGAGTAGTGTCTATGATGTCAGGGCTACTGATCAAATGGCCATCACAAGCTGCTTATTTGGGCCGTGTGTGGGGTTTTCTCTTCTGCAGATCAGTAACCCGAAATCTATCCCAAACCTATTGGGGTTTCTTAAGGGTGTCTATCATGGTGTGTCCAGGATTGATTCTTACTTCTGGGAAACAACAAGTCACAAGGCAGGGTTCCTCCAAACCTCAACACATTCGCAAATCACGCAAGTTGGTTCAGCATTGGCATTGTTTTGTTCTTCTGTTTCCAGGGAACGCATTTCTTCCCTTGATAGGGTGTTTGGAGCACTCCTGTTTGGGGTGTTTAAGGGGGGTCTATCGAGCAGGACGTGCCTGCAAACCCTCAGGGGGGAATAGGCTCTGAACCCACACTCACTTCCCAAGTTCCTAGACTGAATTGCTTGGGGCAAGCAAGTGCACATTTCAGGACTTGAATTTTGAACCAATCCACTGTCAGTATAGCCACAGTTCGCTTGGCCACATTTCGCTTGGCCAAGTAGCTCTCGTTTTGTTGTCTCTCGCATTGTTGAAAGCTGTCAGGCCGAAGCGAAGGGAGCGGGCTCAAAGACGCTTGTCTCACTTAAGTGCCTGGACGTTGGTCACTTTTGGGTTGTTGAACCATTTCAGTGGTAAACAACAAGTTTGGTTACAAATTCTTGTGGCCCATCCACTCCGTCGGAAGTGAGTTGTTCAGTGGCGGCTCCGTGTTTCCGGTTTTGGCAAGGGAAGTGGTTTGTTTTGGGGGGGTAAGGGGGGTAAGGGAGGTGAGGGGGTTATGCAACTGGGTCATCAAAGAAGGTGTGTACGTATATATATATATATATATGCACCATGTACTGGTGGTTGGGCTTGTCTTGTTTTTTGTTGGCATCAGTTTTCGGGACTTGGTAAGACTCAGCCAAAGCACGGGTTTCCGATAGCATGAGCGGCTCCAAAAAAGGACAGATCAGACATTTAACTAAAACACAGGGAAGCCTTCAAAGAAGTCCAGTGCCTTTTGGCGTCCCGTTCAACCAGGTTTCCTGCGGGGTTTGTATGATTTTGAGGTTGGTAGAAAGATGTAGAAAGGGAGAGCAACGGAAATCAACTCGTTAGGTTTGGGTCTTCCGGGTCAAACCAAATTTAGCTCTTCGCCATTTGTTGGCGCTCTTGCAGAACTCTGGTAGGCTTGACTACTTTGTTTGTTATTTTCTGGGGGCTGGAGGGGAAGTATGTCTTGCCTGCAAGAAGGTTACAGAAATCACTCGGACATACCCGAGAACTGGTGGTCCATGCCTACGATATCAGAGCTGCGGATTTTGGCGAATGGTCAGTCTTTTGGGTAGACCCTCGACCTGCTTATTTGCTCTTCGCCTAGGTTTGGTCAGCGTTCCTCCGACCTCCAACAGGTGACCAAGGCTCCAAGCATACAAAGTCAATCCCTTCCCCAAGTATTAACTCCCCTATTAATGTCTACTGTTAACAGGGCAGGTTTCCCTTAATTGGCGGTTTGGATTGGTGGTTTGGGGATTCGAACCCCTCTGTGTGGAGGGTACATGGGCAACCCCTCCTGAGCCACCAAATCACCGGGCTCCAAACCACCAATAAGTGGGAAGCTGAATAGGGGGAATTTATTGATAGGGGAGCGGATGAGTATTGGTTTCCCTCGTTTTCTCTTGACCAAGGTTTTTCCAATTTTTGAATCCCCGCGCGAGTCGGAAAAACCGTGGATTTGGGTTCCCTTTATAAGCACCGTGATTCGGGCGGATTTGTTTGCATGTTTTTGCGAGGGTATTATTTGGCTGGTTTCAAGGGAAACCAAAGGACATTTTCCATGTAGAGGGTTGAAACTGCCCAAAATTTGGAGCACACGATTCCATCCAAGAAGCATCAAGCATGTGTTTTTTTTCGTGATGGAACTGGGTGTGCCAACATTTTCGGCCGGCTTTATGACCCCTCTTCGCGGCCCCAAAGCCCCCAGCTGGGGCCAGCTGCGGTCCAACTAGCAGGGATACAGGGGGAACCAGGGATACGGGAGGATTCCCCGTAAATGCACCTTGACTAAGTTTGATATCGGAAATGGCGCCAAGTTGGAATCCCCCCATATCCCCGCTCCCTCTGTATCCCCTTGTTCGTTTGTCCAACAGACATGTTTTCGCTCAGGAAGCGGAAGCCTGAGGGTCTGCTGGAGCAAGGCCACCAGAAGATGCGCATCAGATCCTTGGCAAGCGGCAAGATGCAGCGGGTGAAGAACCACAAGCACAAGGACCGCTGCTGCTGGGTTGGGTTGGGTTGGGTTGGGTTGGGTCGGGTGGCTGGGGTGAAGGGTTAGGGTTGTGTGTTGCTTGCGTGAGTTTGTGTTTGTCATTGGTTGTTCGATTGTTTGGCCGGTTGGATGGGTGAGCGGTTGGGTTGATTGTTTAGCGTCGCACGAAAGCTGGAAATGGTTGTTGGAAACACATACGGGTAGCGTGGTGGGCGTTCTTCGACAGTGCGCCGGCAAACACGTTAGTCATGGTTGTACTGGTGAAACGGAAGTAAATTGTAGTGGTGACCAAGCTCAAGACAGGAAAGTCTGAATATTATCCATATACACATACGCGGGTATGTAATATTCATTTATATATATAGTGTAGACATACATTTGGGTACAATGTTCGGAGACGCAAAATCACGTGCATCAGTTACATGGGGGTCTCTGTCCGACCACGCTTGCGGTGCACCCCATTGAAACTCGCATAGCCATATGTTTGCATTGCCTTCCGCGATAGCCAGTGGAATGCTTGTTTCCTCTTTAGGTAAGCAAACAAGTCAACGTGCTTCTTCAAAGGGTGGTTCCCTTGTTTACATACTGTACCAATAAATGCAATCACTTGATGTAGGTGCATACATATACATACATATATATATATACATATATACATAGATATGCACATGCAGGTATACACATGTTGTAAAAGGGCATACCCTTTGACAAACAAACATAGAAGTTCACAGACCCCGTTTGAACGATTACTGTCCTTTTGGGGTAGGGTTCTGAGTGGGAGGTCAGCTCCCATCATTTCTAGCCATTTCCCTTGATGGGTGCACAGAATGGAAAAGCAACCACGCCAGGGACACTTAGTAAGCGCCCCTTGTGGTTGAAGTTCACGCAGTCCCCCTCCCTCCGGCTGACCAGCGATGCATGAATTCTGGGGTGAGCCAACCTTTGGATTCATGAACAGATTGCTCTTTAACCAAAAATAATTCAACAATGTAAGCTTCAGAAACTACAGGTTCCCCAGTAGTGCCCTTTCACCCTTTTTTGGGGAGGGTTCCCCTGCTAAAAGCCTCTACAGAAACAAGTTGGTACTCTTATTCTAACCTCTCTGCTGGAGGACCTAGACCAAAAGCCGCTATTGCCTTAGACTCATGCTCTTGCATCCGGCGCGCAGGATGCCAAAGCTGGAGGACTGATGCGCTGCCCATCTCAGTGTGGCAGGTAACCACGGGTGAAAATTGGCAATGCCTGGACGCTGGTCGAGTTCCGTTTCAGACTTTCAACTTTTTGGGAAGACCATACTCGTGGTAAACAGAAGGTTTGGACTGATTTTGGCCAATCCGGGAGAAAGCACGAGGTTGGTGTGGGTTAAAATCAGGCAACCCCGAAATTTGTTGCCCTGGTAAATGGACAACATGGACTAAAACCTGCGGTCCATATCCTGGTGGTTTATTTTGACCCATACCCAGGTTGTTGAAAGGGATGGTGAAACATGGTAGGCTGGCCCCCATGTTTTTTGTGACCCAAAGGGAACAAAAAACACAACGGAAATGGGTTGATAGGAAGAGAACTGACTTGCTTCCTTGGCGTGCTTCCAAATGGGAGCCAACAGAAAGTTTGACACCGAGACATTGTCGGGGCCACAATCAATCCTCGGGTAGTTAGTAGATAAAGCTTGGTAAGGGATAAAGCTTGGTAAGGGATACTCCGATAAAATGGTAGGTGTTCATTATGACTCAGGTGGGTATTTGCATGATGTTTAATTAGTGACCTTTTAGTGGACCTCGTTTGCGCTGGGATTTGTGTCCAACAATTTGTTGGGGTTCCCCCATTAGAATGGCCATGGGTCCAGTGAACATCCCACTAAAATAGACTAAAATGGGTGGTGCACCTTCCCAAAAATGGTACCATTGGTTTTGACCCACGGCCAATTAGAATATGTATTGCGGGTATGCGGCTCAAACAAATGGTTTCAGAAACCACATGTGGGCTTGCGTTCCTGGCCCTTTAAACCAAGGTGAAACATGTAGTTACTTCGATGGTGTTCTTTTTTTGAATGGTCAGAAACCCGAGCAAAACATGGATTTACACGGGTTTACAGTTTGTCTCTTTTTTTTTGGGCGGGGAAACCAATTACTAGGCGATTCCTTTGGGATCATGTAGGTGTCCTCAAAAAAAGGTATGTGTCGAACGTGCCGGGGCCAAGTTTGTTTTGCTTTTGGCTTCCGTTTAAAGGGCAAGGCTTATTGGGCCGGGGAAAAAATAGAAATAAAACATGCGCCACCCATTAACGTGGACTCTTTACACCTTGGTTTTCGTTTGATCCTCAATACCTGAAGCCGCTTGTTAAAACGAGAGGCCCAGGTGGGAAAAGAAGCGCGCGACGGGCAGGACATCGCCATGGTAAGCATCGCTACAACAAGGGCAAGTTGATGGATCCTTGTCTCAACGCGCAACTGCTTGTCACAACATACGTGCCACGGTCACAAGACCGGTTCCTTTACGGAATAATGTGAAATGACCGTTATCATGATTGATAGGCCATACCAGGGGGTTGGCAGGAAGGAGACCTGGAGATCCCTTGAAAGCAACGCGTCACCACGCAAGGGTACGCCTCCTGGGAGTGCGATTTTGGTGGGGGGGAGAGTACACCCATACCAAAGACCGAGACAAAAACTTGGCCAGACTTAGCCCCCCCTGCAAACTGTTTCTTGGTTGTTTACTGTGGAATGTTCTACTGACAAAGTGGAACTAGTTGAAAGGCCTTCGGGAGGTTTTGGAAGCAGGGAAGACTTGGATGACATACCAGAATCTGGCAACCAAATCCTGGTGTTTGCTCTCATATGATCTGGGAGTGAGCTAAGTGGTTAGCCCGGCTTGTTTCGGGCATTCTGCTTTTGGGGGCACCAATTGAATGGTAGGCACACAGTTGACCGTTTTTGCCCACTGAGACTCCGGCAGTGATCTTCCAACCGAACCGGCAAGATGGGCAACCCATTTTTTCGCGTGGCCTTGGATTCAACACAGTTTGAGACCCATCCCTTGGAAGGTTGTTGTTGCTCCTCCAAGCCCAAATGTTCAAGGTTTTGAGAAAGTTGGGCCCGGAAAACAACAAGAAAACCACTATTCAACCGGTTGGATTTGGAGGAAACATCAATTGAGTTTTGGGAGAAGGACTACTTTTCCGACAGCTGTCAGGGGCGTTTGTGCTCTCCAGTGATTGTCCCTCGTGGAATGTCCATGGAAGATGAGAAGGTCTAAAATCACATCCCAGTTGTTCAGTGGCGCCCCTTTTTCCTTTGTTTGGGAAGGGTTCCGATTCCTTTAAACTCAACCAACCAAAAAAGCTCACTCCAATTCGGGGGGGTGGGGTCTTGAGCAATGTGGCGGAACCAACCAAAAAGGGATGCCCGTTTTTGCCCCGTGAACGGTAGAACATCGGGTGGTATATTTGTGGACCCAAGGATTTCAGAGCTCGGGCTCTGGAGACCGCGTGTTCTTTTCAGCGGCGAACCGAACAGGTTCTAACCTCGTGCGTTTCAGGCCCCCGCGAAATCTATGTGTTGAACGTCTGATCCACCATGAACCACAGAGCGAAATCATTCATGCCCATAGGTGTCCTTTTTAGGTTAGTTTAATTTGGTTAAACATAGAAGGGTTCCGCTGGTTTAGGTAGGTGTTATGCCCCATTTACCAGGGAAGCCCGTCTTTTTTTTCCAAAAGGACGCCTATACTCATACCGATACCCTTTGCGCATATTTCGCATATCGCGAGGTTACCTCAAGGTTCTTGCCTCGAGCGTTGCTGAAGGTTCCAGTTGATGGCTTCCTCTTTCTAAACCTGGATGGAAGTGGATTGGAAACCTGTTTTAACTGATGGCACAGGGTACTTGTTTGCTTGGCGAGCCTTTAACTTTAAGTTTCTATTTTGACTTGCGAGCATGGCTTTTTGTCCACTGCCCAACAACCTGCTAATTTGACTGCAAGGGGTCGGAGGCCGAATCGATGAGTCTTGAGAAAGAATGCCGTGTCTTTTCTTTGGTGGATTTGCTTGGATGTTGGGACTTCAACTTTCTGCCAACTAATGGGTTTTCCACTAAACCTCCAAAAGTTAAACTTCTAGCAGGGGAGCAGAAAGCAACACAGTTTTTGGAAGGTTCTTTCGTGCGCTCGCCTGAGGAGAGGAGATGAGACCGTCCGATCTGACACTTAGACTACCCCCGAACCTCCAGTGCCCTTGTTGTTTTTTTGTTGGGCTTTCCTCAAAACAAAGATCCCACTACACCAAGACGTGCGTCTGGATTTTTGTTTCCGCTGCCTGGCTTTTGTTTCAATGGCTGTCCACTTCACAGGGGCAACTGAAGGTTACGGAAGCGAAGCCAGCGAAGAGCTGAGCTGAACGCCAAAGCTGCGGTCCCTTTTGCAAGAGAGAGAGCGAGAGGTTGCAAAAGGCGTGGGGGTAGGCGTGGGGTAGGTTAGGCGTGCCCAGGTGAAATTGTCCTAAAAACAGTGGTTCAGGTACAGTTGGGCGAAACTGGACGGCCCACCTACCGATTTTGTAGTCCCCTTTACTTCTCCACATCTACTGGGAATTGTGCCATCTGCGAAATCATCACTGGCGTATGCTTGTGGACCTGGTTTTTAGGCTACCGGCGAGTTGCCGAGGGAATCCCCTGTGTGACAAACAAATTGTCATGGCTTCAACCTTCCAACCCGTGAGGATGCCCAAATCCTGGTACAGAATTGAGGCCATGTCACTGAACAAATGTGGCCGGGTAAAGACCTGCCTCAGCTCGAGGGCCGCCTCTGGCCCAACCACACGTTTGGCCAATTGAGGGCAGCGGATGCCTTGTTGAACCCGGACAAGTGTTTTCTTAAGCTGAAGTTGGGTCCCTTTCATTTATGAACCTAAAGTGTGTCTTTCTTGAAGGCCCGTGAAGGCCGTTTGGTGGGTGTTTACAGGCAACCCAGGAACCGGATTTCTTTTTTTGGTTCCACTCGCGCCGAGGCAATACCCGGGTTCCGCGGGCTATGCACCGCCAGGCACAGCTCAAGTCCACCCAGACACCTAGTGCCCTGGTTGGACACCAACTAAGCCCGCCCAATTTAGAGCAAACAAGGGCTACATTCCACTTTTTCTACATGAAGAAAACTCTCTCAAAGCTTGAGACTAGTACAATCGTTGAAGCCAAGGAGCTGTTGCCTAGAAAAGCCGAGCCTTTCGGAGTCGATCGGAGTTCTTTTGCGAAGGGAACGGTTCCCGAAGTCGACCAAAGAAGATGCGGACCCTTTGACCAATGGCTCCCAGCATTTGCAAGATTTCGTCCGACTGCATGAGCCATTGACATGTCCAAGGTGACATGTTGGTTCACCCGGTTGCCCAGTGGTGCCCTTTTTGCTTTTTTTTGGGAAGGGTTCCCCCTTAAAGTCAACCAACCAAAAAAGGATGCCTTGTTTCCCATGGCCACTGGGCATCTGAGTTCAAGTGAGTCGCCTTTTTGGTGGGGTGATGTCTAAAGACTTTCGATCTCTGACCTGTAGATCCATATTCTGGGGATATTTATGGACATCATCTAGGTGCGGATCAATGTCCTCACTGGTAGTTCCCTTTTGGAGTTCGTGGTCATATGAGTCACTGACAATTGGTTCGGGAAGGACGGGGAGGTCCTTTCGTTACTAGGCTGATGATTGCGTAGTTTCACGTGTCAAGCTGCGCAAACTGAAGCACAACTCTCTGTGTAAAGTGACCTGCCCAGCTTTCGTTCAAGGCGATGTGTTGATTCGTTCCGTTCTGTTGGTTTGTTTATGGAGAACTAGGTCCTGACTGGTCAACATGATGTTGATGGTATATAGCGTGATCGCACGCAAAATGCTCAGTAATAACTAGCTGCATTTCAGCAATCATGCGGGTAGTTCCCCAAGAGGCAAGGGTGTGAGAGTCCAGGATCAATCAACCTCTGTCAAGTTCATCCACCCAAGTTGATTCCTTCATTAGACAAATCGTATTTTTCAGGAGGCATGAATCCAAGCCGCAGAGACACTCCCCTAAGGCCTCACTAGCAAAGCTCTCGGGTGGGTTCAGGGTGGGCCTTCAAACTTCTTGCTGAGAGATTGTTCATCCCTTTGGCGAAGACCCCAAACTTTGTTTTAGAAGAAACACAAAAACACCGCAACTACTACCAGCACCCTTTCACCACCGGATGTTTTGGACAGTTGGGATTTTCGACATGGACAACATCCACGCAAGTTGGGACGCGGGTGCTGGTGAAGAAGGGCCTTCCAAAGAGTAGCGAACCCTTTGCTATTTGTTCTTTTGGTTTTAACTGGTGGCGTGGCAAGCCCTTAGTGACCTGTACAGGTAAGTTTTGGGTTACCTACAAAGCCGCGTACCTGAACCTCAAGATTCCCGTAAAAATGGGTGATAGCCCCAAACAAGTATGGTGAAATCCAACTTTTTAGGGTAGTTTGAGGGTCCAGGTCAACAGATCCGCTGGGCTCCACTTCTTTCAACCTTTTTCGCCGATGAATCCTCGCCGTTCAGGCCATCCAGGCCAGCCGCCACCAGGCCAGCGATTTCGCGCGTGTGAGTCGAGGGGCTTGAGGGGTCGATTCGTTGATTGGGCCCCGAGAAATCATGCTCGTCCACAACTGGACTAGCGTGGGTCCGCGGCGCGTCTCGCACCTGCATTCTGGCCAGCCCAGAAAGGTGGATGCTAAGGGCGGGGGTTGTCACTGGGGGTTGTTGTTTTTGTCAATCAAACGCTGGGGGGGCTATGACACTGGTTTGGGCAGGGGCCCAAAAACGACGCGGGGCCCAAAAAGGGGGCTTGTCCATGAAAAATGAGTCCAGTCCCAAAAAATATACTCCCTGCGAGTGCATCGTTTTAGCGACAAGCAGCAACTTTATGTGGCAATTCCACTTAGGAAGAGTGCAAAAAGGTTCACCTTGCTCTTGCGGATTGAGCTCTTAATTAAAAAAAGAAGAAACAAACCTACACTTCTGCCGCACTTCTGCCTCTTGATCATCCTTCATGTTTCTCTCAACCTGCAGGTTGAGTCTTGCAGAGGGTCGGATCTGTTTTGGCCGGTTTCGACGGTATGCGCCCTGTACCAGGTTTGCCAAAGCGGCAGCTTCCGGCAATTCCCATGGACTTTTAAGGACTTGTAAGCTTGGAGGATCAACCTGATTTCAGGCGGTCTGGTTTGGCCACTTGGCTTGTCTGGTTCATTTCTGGGGTCTGGCAAGTTGGCTCCTGCTGAGTTCGTTGGTTGAGTTGGTTACTAGTGCCGACTCCTGCTGATTTGTTGATTGGTGGAATTGATTTGACTTGTGGGTTGGTTGGTTGGTTGAGCTATGGGATTGGTTTAGGCTTATAGTGGATTCGTTGCTCCCAGAAAAAGTCACAAGTTTTTGTGCAAGAGAACGAGGGACAACCACCTGGACTGAACAAACCATGTGTTATTGCCACCCAAAGTTGTGGTTGGTGACTTCCATGGACCCACAAAATGGCTTTAACCATGGGTTCCTGCCCAAGCTAATGGTTGGTGACTTCCCGGTTTTCAAGGTAGCTTACCATCTCCTACCTAAGAATGGAGATGGGAGAAGATAGATAAGAGAGACCGTTCCTTTCTCACTTCCCAACTGACGAAATCCTTAGATTGAGGGTCCAAGTGAGTTTTGGATCTCCCCACGTCAAGGCCAGGCGCCCTATGCGATGTATCCAGCCTGCGGCTCAGATCCGTCGGCGGAAGGTCTCGGAGACGAGCTCCCAAGGTCCTCTCAGAGATGTTTCTAAGGATTTGTTCGGGGATTTTCCAAGTTTCTAACTTGGGTTTCCCGGTTTTCCCCAAATGGCCGGGCCCCAAATGAGTCTGTCTTTTCTTGGAGGTACCTTCTTTTGTTTGTGGTTTTCTAGTGATTGATTCCCCATGCTTTTCAACCATCGTTCTTTTCAAGAACCCTCCGTTTCCCTGGGTTTCTGGAGGTTTCCTAGAAAGAAGGATCCCTGGAAAGAATGGGGGATGGTAACACTAGAATGGAGATTTGTGCGGTTGAATCATGGTCAAATTTGATGCAAATTTGCCCGGTGAATGGACACATGAACCAGAATGAACCAGCCGCAAGTAATGAGCGGTGGCCGGTGGGCGTATGGGCCTAGCCGCAAAAACGCCCGCGCTTGGGGCTGGTGGCGTAGGCTGGCGTAAGCAAACCCTCGCGCGCAAGGTGGCAAAATGAGAGCGGCATAGCAAATCATGACACGTTTGGGACACGGCTCAAGTGGCTTTGGAGCACGGCACGATCCACTCATGAGACCGCGCTGGGGCGTCCCGGCCCGGCAGGATGTTGGCATGCAAGTTTCGACAGCCAGTCATTCAGCTCGTCCTCTAGTGTTGCCATCCTTAAACAAGGGGTTAGGGACCTCCCCTCGCTTTCTGGCTTGCTGGACTTTCGTCACTTTTGGGGCTTGGACCCTTTTAGTTGTAAACCAAAAGCTCCTATTTGTGTGGCCAAGGCGAATCGAATTGTCATACCCATGGACTTGTTTGCATTTTTTTTTGGGCCAATCCACTGGTTCGAGTGAAACCATTTGTCAGACGTGACCTGGGCCTGGGCACTTCTGAGGATCCCCGCGCTGCGCCGGAGAGGCGCGGGGGCTCCGCGCTGGCGTTCGGATCGGGAACATAGCTAGGTTGCACCCCCCACTGGAGCATCACAGGGTTCCACTTTTTTGACAACCCCAAAGTGGACTTAAACCCAGGGGTGGTTGATTTCCCCAAAAGGAAAGCCAGCGGGTGTAAGTCTAGCTTGGGGTGGACAAAAACGGAACTCTGATCACAGATGTTGTCAGAAGATGTCTACGGTTGTTGGTTGGAGGGATATTCCAGGCATGTCCCTTATCAGAAAATTTAGGATCACCCAGGAGCAAACGGGAGGTTTCCATGCACCAGGCGGTTTGGTTGTTCGAAAAGGGACACCAAAAGGATCAGGTGTTGTCCAGGCCTACTCAGTTAGGACCCAGATCGGCCAATGGCTTGGCAAAATGATGGGGGGTTCAAACCAAAGGAATTACCTGTGATGTTTAAACTAGCGGTCATTCGGTGGACGGATTCAAAGCGCGTTTCCCCTTGGCGAACGGAACGTGCGTGGCATTCCTCCTTCCGGTGATCAAGCCGTTGGGTTGCGCATTTATGGATAGATAGGGTCTAGAAGGGAATGAGGGAATGACTCCTATAAACCATCCATTCCCTACCTGTCGCACCC